AAAAAAATATCACTGCTTCTTCTTATATAATGCCATTCACATGACAAATGAGAACCGAATGCGTGAGTGCTGTTATGTTAAGCTAATGTTATGTTACGTGACTGTTAACTATATATGTCTGTTCAAATGTCCGCCAAAAAATATGAATCAAAGTACCTTTATAAATTTCATGGTATTGTGAAATAAAAAAGATAAGATATTAAGAAATGATGGAATTTAATGATAATATGCTCTATAATTTGAATGACAGACAAACGTTAAATAGTATTTTTACTTAGCAACATTCTTGTATTTTTACCATTGTTTAATAGGGCAACACTGTTTAATTGCCAAACAAAGGCGTAAGTGCAGATGAGTAAATAAATTGTAACTCTTGCGCTGTTTGTTTGCAAGATGAGCTCCTGGCGTGAGAGTATAACCAATTTACCCACTGCAGTTGCACAATTTGTCAACGAAAGTACATCAACAGCTACTAGCTATCTAAATTTGTCACATTCAAGCTCCACTGTCTCCGAGGAGAGTGCTCCACAGCATACGGACTATAAGGCGTTGCCCATTCCCGCATCTCTGGTGAAGGAACAGTGGCGCTTGATATTCACCTCAGATGCTAATAGCCAGGATTTACAGGCAGCAATTTCGCATTGTCGCGATCTTGTCCTGCTGAGTGATGAATGCAGTGAGGAACGTCGGTGGCTGGTGCGGCATTTGGTGGACTTGCGCTATTCGCTACAGGAGCTGGAAGAGGCACAGGCGGTGGCCAACACGGATGTAGTGGTATTGAATGCCATTAAGTCGGTGGTGGGACACCATTTTGTACCACATCATCCAAACACACGTAACCGCCTACAGGCAGCTGCCAAACGCTACTATTGTGATCATTGTGCCGGGATTATTTGGCGAGTGGTGCAGGCGGCCTACATCTGCAGCGATTGCAGCTACCTGGTTCACCAAAAATGCATTGACAGTGTGCAGCGTGTGTGTGCTCATGTGCTGGCCTCCGATCGTCAATATCCGATTTCCGATATTTGCCCAGAGATTGGCTTAGCAGCGCAGCGCTATAAATGTGCCGAGTGCTCGACTCTGCTTAATTTCAGTAACTAACAGAGCATCGTTATCTGTAGCGTACCAGCTAATCACAAACATTTCTTGCAGAGAATTCCTGGATTGAGCCACGACTCTGCGACTATCGCGGTCTCTACTACTGTCCTTCGTGCCACTGGAATGATAGCTTTATTGTGCCTGCTCGTATTGTGCACAACTGGGACTTTACGCCGAGGAAAGTCTCGCGAACCGGTCTCCAAGAGATTCAGTTGTTCCTTGATAAGCCGCTCATCCGTCTGGAGGAGGAGAACCCCAAGTTATTTGTCTTCTTAGAGAAGCTCTGTACTGTTAAGAAATTGCGTCAGAATCTGGTGCATATGCGACACTATCTTGCTGCCTGCAAAGATGCTGCCGAGCAGAAGCTCGTGGATCAACAGTTGGGCAGACGCCGACATTTAGCGCAGTCCAATGAGTTCTACTCAATTGGTGATCTCGTGCAGGTTGAATCGGGTGTCTTAGCTGAGTTCCTGCAAGGCGTCTTCAAGGTCTTTGGCAGCCATATACGTAGCTGTGAAATGTGCCTAGCGAAGGCGTACATCTGCGAGATCTGCAGCAACAACGAGGTGATATTCCCCTTTGACGATGGCTGCATTAAGTGTGATCAATGCAATTCCATTTACCATCGTGTGTGCTTCACCCGGAAGAACATGATATGCCCGAAATGTGTGCGCATCCAGGAGCGTCGCCTACAACTGCAACGTGATTTAAGTAAGCAGTCGAATAAGGAAGAGGACGATAATGCGGAAGACTCTGACTCCGCCTTGGAGCCAGTGGACACCACGTAACCCAACCACTTTAAAGTTTATTGTTTTTAATTTGTATCTGTTTAACGGTTTTTAATATGTTTTTATGTACATAATGATAAGACTATATTGCAGCAGTGAGTGCCCAATATATATATATATAGTATATACAATATATGACACAGTCTTCCTCTACAGACTGCTCACTGCGCTTTCTTTCCATACTTTTGCCGATTGTGAAACTTGCGCGGATTAATGCCGTAGGCCTTGAGCCGATCATCGCTGATGCCGTTGGGATTAGAATTATTCGCTTTGCCTTTGGTTTTAAAGTCTCGCTTAGAACGTGGTGCTTCGCTTTTATTGCCTGCTTTCTTGAATGGATTTGCGCCTGTTGATTGAGCTGGTTGCTGTCCTGGAGCTTGTTGCTTCCTTGGAGTTTGTGACTTTCCTGAAACTTTTTGCTGTCCTGGAGCTTGTTTCTGCCTTGGACCTTTTTGAGGCCTTGAGGCTTGTTGCGGCCGCTGAGTTTGTTGAGGCCTTTGAGCTTGTTGCTTTTTGAAAGGATTGCTGTTTGCATCATTTCCCTTGACATCAATTTTGTTAAGCACTTGTTTTTTAGCAAATGGATTGTTCGAGTTGTCCTTGTTTGCCACCTGTTTATCTGTTTGCGGCTTCTGTTTTTCGAACTTTTTCTTTTTAGCTGGCGGTGTTCCATTCGTTGCAGCCGGCGCCCCACTCGCTTCATTCGAAGTCTTCAGTGCTTGCTTATCCTTTTCAATCTTCTGTCTTTTGGCAGGTATTTCACTAGATGTTGCTTCTTCCTTCTTGATAAGATCTGAACTCTCCTGCTCCTCATGCTTAACTGGAGCTGGAACAGTTGCACTTGGTGTTGACGCTGCAGCTGCAGCTGCCGCTTTTCTTTTTAGCCGTTTTCGCTTGGACTTCGATAGGGTTTCTGTGGGCACCTTTTCTGCAGGTGGCGCAGCAGGCTGCTCATTGGAGTCCGCTTTGACAATTTGTTGGGTTCCATCTTGTGCACCACTTTCCTCTTCATCATCGGAGCTGCAAATATGCTTAATCTTAGCACAAGATTTTATTTATAGTCCATACTCTTACCCATCGCCGTATAAGCTTTTGAAAATCTTTCGCTTAAGATCCTCGTTCTTGGCTTTCATCTTGTACAAGCGCTGCTCTCTTTTCTCCACATGTTCAGGACGGTTTTGCACAGCCTTCTTAAGACTAGCCCACTGGTTGAGTTCCTTGTTCTTGGCCAACAGGATCTGAAAGTATGAAAAGATTAAGATCCTTCTACCAAGACATTATTATTCATCACTAACCTCCTCGATCGTTAAACCAAAATCATTCGGCGTCGTCTCCACGTACTTAAAACGACAAGGTTGGTCGCCCACTATGTCCTCATAGTCCAGTTTGTAGTATTCATCAATATAGTCACCATAAGTCTGTTCGTCATCTGGATTAAACGGCGGTTTCTCTGCTTGAATCATTTCCATGAAACGATTGCGTCGTCCCTTGCGACCTTTTCGACTCCGAGTATTTTCGATCAGCTCCTGTTGCAGTTGTTGCTTGGAGGAGACTGGATCATAATCACAGTCCATATTAAAATCATCGTCTTCGCAATGACCCTCGTCATCCTGCCCATTGTATTGCTTTGGATCGTAGTTATCCCAATCCTCAATTGCCAATTCTTCAATATCTGAAGGACACTCTGGCTTTTCTTCGCCCTCATCCACTTCGTAGTACTCATCATTGAATATTTCCTGCATGCGTCGATCGTGTGCTTCCGGGTCGAAATCCTCCTCCAGTTCCTCATCCTTAAAGCCCAGCTCATCGTTTCCCGTAACTGCCTTTAGTTTGCGTATTTTCTCTTCAATCTCCTTGCGTTTCATTTCCTTAATCAAATCCAATTCCTTCATCTTTTGCAATTTCTCCTGCTCCTTGCGCTGCTTTATCTCTTTACGTTTTTCCTTGCGTGTGTCGTCCTTGCGACGAAGCGACTGTTCAATTGTCCTTGGATAACGCTTGATAAAATCTGCATCTGGCTCCTCGAAACGAAAATTGTATTTCTGCTCAAACTCCGCCTGTTTCTCCAGCTCCTTCTCGTCATCCGACAATGGAGTGCTCTCTCCCACGATCTCGTCGTACGTAGGAATTTCGGATTCATTCGTGTTGGCATAGCCCTTATTGAGTATGTAGTCACGCAGAAAACTCTCTCCTTGAGTTAACTTGTTGCTACTCCAGTATTGCTTGAGTGGAGCCAACTGTTGCTTTGCATTTGCGTCGATCTCTGCATCCGCCTGCTTGCCGGCCAGCCATTTAGCAAAGTCTGCCTCCTCGGCATCGGTTTGCGCCTGAGTTTTGGTGCGCTTCTTAAAGATGCCACCAAATTCCTCATCTTCGTCATCATCTTCACGGTTCATAACACTCTTGAACTCTGCTTTGAGACGTCTTTCCTCTTCCACAGCTGTAGGCGACTGCGCCCGCTCTAATTGTTTTTCCGTCTGTGCCTCATCGTCCGAGCTCTCAAATTTTCCATTGTGCTCCAAGATAACTTTGCGCTCGTAATCTTTCAAGGTTACCGGTTTACTCTTGCTGGATTTCTTTTTGGGTGCATCTTCATCGTCGTTGCTTTCGCTGTCCGCCTTTTCATTGAAGAAACGTGTTTCCTTGTCGTATATGCGAGGATCTTTGCTTTTCAGCGAAGCAAGAGTTTTGAAAAACTCTTGATCAAACTTAACATCCACTTCATCCTCATCGGAGGACTCGCTGTCGCTGTCCAGCTCCGACTCTGAGATATCTAGACCCCGATCCTTATCTGAAACAAGCCACAATATTAGAAATATCTAAAGAGATCTTCGCATGAAAGATCAATAGGTAGTTTACACTTCTGTAACAGCTCCTTTTTGCGCAAAACATTATACGAGTTGGCATAATCCTGATTAGTAGATAATTGTAGATCGTCCGCATCATCGTCAGAGCCATCAAACAGTTTGTTATTCATTATAAACGGTAATTCTTTAATGTTTATTAGTAAAGAGCCAGCACGTGTGTTCGTTGAGTAAACTAAACTGGTTCTATTGAATAAAATGAGCTGGTATTTCTGAAGTGCCGAAAATAACTAGTTCCGGTTTAGTTCCCGCTGCAGCCCTGGTTAAAATAATTCTTAAACAAAAGGCACTAAATGCAGAGCTGATTAAAATACAAAATATAAAATTAAATAGCGTGATTTACAACATTCCAAACAATGACGGACACGGAGGAAACACAAGCTCCCACAACAACATCAACGACATCCGTTGCAGCACCCCCCGACAAGGATTCAGCAAAAAGTAAGATGCAGCCATTGCTTCCTCGAACACCTGCTCACTGCACAATGTTTTGTTTTTCTTATCGCTTTTAGTTTGCATTCTGCTAAACGCAACTGGCAACGTGCCCATTATAAAGAAACGCACATGGACCGTAGATCCCAACAAAACAGTCAGTTGGATACAAAAGTTTATACACAAATTCCTCAAACTCGACTCAAACGAAAAAATTGTACGTATACGAACAGATCTTTCTAAACTTCCCAGTTTTTAATTCATATTTTGATTTGAGCAGTTTTTATATGTAAATCAAACATTTGCACCTGCGCCGGACCAGATCATCAAAAACCTGTACGAATGCCATGGCACCAATGGTAAATTGGTTTTATACTATTGCAAGAATCAAGCATGGGGCTAAACCTGGATATGCGGGTGGCTACTTAAATAAGTATTTATTTGTTAACTTTTATGTTTATGTTATGTTAATTGTATAGGAATTGACGCTGGAAAAATCTTATAAATTTCACATTTTTATTTCCCTCAAAGAGAGGTCTTAATTACGACTATTAAAGGACCACATTTGAAAACAATTTCGTGTATTCAATAAGATTTAAATAGGTTAACGGCTTAGTCGCCACGCAGTGCTTCCAGCTCATCGGCTGCCTCCTTGGATATTCTGTGATATTTGGCTACAGATGGGCGATAATAATAGGCTTGGTAATCGTTGCGTTCGGACATCTTTTTGCGAATCTTTTCCTCGAGCAGGCTGTGGAGGGAATTGTTAACAATGAAGGCTGTATTGGGTGTCTATAGTCTTACCGAATTTGCGCCTTTTCGTTCTCCTCAAAGATGTTGTGCAGCGCTTTCTCGTATTCCTGTTGCTGCGAGGTTAGAATATACCGAGCAATAAACCGGGAAATTGGATTCTAAAAAAGCGAAACACATATTTAATATGAGCAAGTACAATAAAGATCACTTTAACAGCACCTTCTCGTATTCCCAATGCTTGGGTTCGTAGCCTTCAGGGATTTCGGCCAACTGCGAGGGTCCCACGAAGATGTTTGCATATAACACCAGAGCGGTGATCGGCAGTACGCCAATCATTACGTAAAAGTGCATTAGATCCTTGAATTTGTCCCATTGGAAGCGTGAGGGCTTAATGGTCATGTGATGGTGTTCATGATCACCTCCCATTCGGCGCAATTGCTGCTGCAGGGCTAAAATGGAGATCCATGGAAACATATTTGTGGTTGCGTAATGCAGGCTGTGTTTACACCCTCATCTGATGCATTAGCAGTTGTGCTTACCATTCCTTGTGGCTGGTGTCAGCAGTACAGCCCTATTCTTGGCGAATTGTGCCGCTGGCAGCAGCAAACGGCTCCAACCAACCATTTTTATGAAATTTTACGCTATTGTGCTTTATACCAAAATAACGTGAACGTCGGTCAGTCAAAACAAGGGCTGGTGTAGCAGATATGTTTTATATATCGATACCATCGATTGCAACTTGACGAAAGTTTTATTTATTTGTAATCTTAAATAATAGAATAAATAATATATAAAAAGAAATTTATCACCTTATCGTATGTGATGTTTATTAACATGATAAATATTAAATTGAAAAGTGATATCATTATCATTTACTCTTCAGCCCTGACAGAAGGTATTGCTTTATTACTTGCCAGCCCTGCTCTGGCGCAGAGTTAAACATACAAACTTTTTGTCTGCACTCGAAATTTTGTTGCGATTTTGTTTTTGGAATATTTTGAAGATTAAACGTTATAATAGGTAAATATTCGAGTGTTAATCTTAAGCAACAGAAAGTAAAGCAAAGTCAGACAATAAAATTTTCAAATTGTGTATTGTGAAGTACGTTTTCCTCTCATTTTGCCGTTGCGCTGTTGCTGATAAAAAGCTCTTTGACAATAATAAAGTAAATAATACTATATGTGTCAGTTCGAGGTAGTATCAAATGCGCAATTCCCATATGATAAGTGATTTTTAATGTTCACCAAGTTCAGCACGTAATGAATGGCAAAAAACGAAAAACTGCAAATTGTTACATTTGCATACATATGTACATACACACATATGCACATAATGTATATGTTTTCTAATGTCTCTATGCATATACAGTGACGCACAAAATAGTATGAATGGTACAAGCTTTTGATAAAGATTTAAGCAAATCTGAATACGTGTTTATGTTTTTAAGCGTGACTTAAAAATAATGACTTTTTAAATGCTGCGTCGCAGCAAGTTTATGTATGTGGCTGCGTTTGTGTGGATGTATATATGTACATGCAAATACTGTAGTTTATTTTGGTGGTGGGCGTAGGCGTCGCCGCCATTCTCCCTTTTTCCACTTTGCGTGCTTAGCTTCGGCCTCGGCTCGACTTAACTTTACCGAAGCAAGAATAACCTATTGCCAGTAAGCGTAAATCAATTGTTTTTGATGTCGTTGCTGTTATTGTTGTTGTTGTATTGGTGATAAAGTAGAATATGAATCAGCGCTCAACATTAACATCATCAGCAGCAACAGCAGGAGCAGCAGAGCAGCAGCGGAGACCGTGTTAGAGGTGGGGACAGCGTGCGATAAGAGCAAGAAACAAGTTTATTAGCATGTTGTTGTTGTTGCTGTAGTTGTTACAAGTTCGACAGAGTCGCGGCAAGATGTGACGTCATCTGAATAGTTGTTATACACCCAATATTGGCTAATGTATTCGAATTGTAGTTTCTGCAATACACTGTTCAAAGGTGTCAGTGTATAAGTATTTTATAACTCTATTTATAACATAGCAAATAATTGTAGTTGTTCCCGTAGCTCAAACTCGTATCTTATCAGCAAGCAAACTTAACTTATCCATCCTAAACTGTTATACTATATACAGAGTAACAGATATTCCAATATATACGACTAGCTACGAGCTTTAACTATTTCAACTATACGATCAGATCTTAACGGTTATAGCTGTATTTAGTGGCTATTACTTCTGTTAACAGTGTATTCAACACTCTAATATACCCAACCTCTATTTGTTTTCTTTAATTTTGCCAGGTGTCGCCGTTTAACAATCAGCAAATTTCTCACAACGACAAAAACCTCTCACTGAGGCAATGGATGTCAATTCACGTTTCCCAGCACGATTACCAGGTAAGACCCGCTGCCTAACTGTCCGTAGGCACCCTTTTTGTTAATTTCAGTTTGTAATTATATAAACATAAATCTGTTAACAATTTGTTTACGTTCTAACCTTTGCTTTTTTCTGGCTTTCTAAAAAAAAAAAAAAAATGAGTCTCGAATGCTTTAGCGCTCGCTTAAGAATTAAACGTTAGCTGTAACTGTAATCCAAAAAAGTAAAGAATGCCTTGCTTTAGACTAACCTTATACTCCCCGCCCCCCAGACATTGTTTGTGCTACTAACCTAAACTGAGCATTTACTATAATCTCATGCCTATTCCTAGTGATGTCTCACTGTAAATAGAACGTACATTAAACAAAACATACAAAAAACATGCATAAAATCGTACAGTTTTACTACTAGTTGTTTTTTGTAGCTGCGCTGTTTGCTATTTGTTTACTGTTGTACTTTGTGTGTGGCTTAGTCTTCTTCTCTTTGTAAATAACCGAAATTGAAACTAAGAAACGTTTTGAAGCCCCCTCCTAAATAACTCATGAAATTCTTTCTGATTCATATTTATTCACTTACACAAATCCGAACTCTAACTTCTTGCCTAAGGCCGACAAAATACTTAAGTGAAAAGCATTAACTTGTAAGATTACATCTCTGAAATTTGTAACCACTCCAAAAGTAGCCCTAAGAGATTAATAAATTCTTTTTATCTCTTATCGAAAAACGCGAAGGGCCCGCCATTAGCTCAGTTGTGGGTAACTCTGACGAGCCGCTGCCCAGTCTATCCGATCTGCATGACTGCGAGCCCAAGCTGGAGTTTGATGATACCGAGCTGTTGTCCCCAGCGCCCCTAGAGAGTAAGAACTATTTGCATATAATGTGCGCTCACAGACAATGAGCAAGGGAGTGACTAAACACTTGCTTTTTATTCACAGAAGATGTTATGGTCGGCGATTTTGTGCTAGCCGATGGTAAGTTAAGCTCGGTGTAATTGAGCATGACGTTGTAAACGTTTGCAGATCCGTTTCCAGATCCCGAACTTGAGACAGAAGAGGCACCAAATCCCCTAGAGGACGACTTTGAAGACCAGCTGCGTGAGCAGTCCGAGAACTTTCAGGGTAACAAGAACAAATGCGACTTCCTGGGCACTGATAAACAAGGTCGTCACATTTTTGGCATTTACGCCTCGCGCTTTCCCGAAAAGTCACAACTCGAAGGTTTTGTGCGGTAAATTTAGGTAATATCTTATCTTTAAATAATAAACTAATAAATTTCTTTAATTCACCAGACAAGTCATCAAAGAGATTGAACCGTTTGTGGAGAACGACTATATACTCGTCTACTTTCATCAGGGTCTCAAGGAGGACAATAAGCCCTCGGCGCAATTCCTGTGGAACTCGTACAAGGAGCTGGATCGTAATTTTCGTAAAAACTTAAAGACTTTGTATGTGGTGCATCCGACGTGGTTTATACGCGTCATCTGGAACTTCTTCAGTCCATTCATCAGCGATAAGTTTCGCAAAAAGCTAGTCTACATCTCCAGCCTCGATGAGCTACGTCAGGCTTTGGGCCTGAACAAGCTCAAGCTGCCGGACACCATTTGCGACTTCGACCATAAACTGAATCCGAGTCGTGGCCGCGCATCGCAGCCAGCAGCACCCAATGGGCGGCCAACGATGCAGTTTGGCGTGACCTTGAAGTTCATCGTTATGCACAGTCCATGCTTGAATTCCATACCGCCGATTGTGCGGAAGTGTGTGGACTCGCTCTCGATCACGGGCGTCATCGACACGGAAGGTATTTTCCGGCGTTCCGGCAATCATAGTGAGATTATGGCTCTCAAGGAGCGCGTCAATCGTGGCGAAGACGTGGACTTAAGCAACGTCAATGTGCATGTCATAGCGGGTCTGCTCAAGAGTTTCCTACGGGACCTCGCCGAACCACTGCTTACCTTCGAGCTGTATGATGATGTGACCAAGTTCCTAGACTGGCCCAAGGAGGAGCGTTCGAGGAACGTTACCCAGCTGATACGTGAAAAACTGCCCGAAGAGAATTACGAGCTATTCAAATACCTTGTGGACTTTTTGGTGCGAGTTGTGGACTGTGCGGATCTCAACAAAATGACCTCATCGAACCTGGCTATTGTATTTGGTCCGAATTTCTTGTGGTCCGGCCGCACGAACACGTCCCTCGAGGAGATAGCACCGATCAATGCATTTGTTGACTTTGTGCTGCAGAATCACAAGGCTATCTATCTGATTGATGTTAATCAGCGCACGGTCAGTGTCGATTAGCGGAATAGCTGACGAACCCACACAAAAGAAGTCCGTAATTTGTAAATTGTTTCATTAAGTGTTTAGCCTATAAGCCCGTCAAGAGGAGCACAGTGAAAAGCGCAAGCGTTGTTTCGTGTATAAAGTGTGTTAAATCTTAAGTTGAAAATATTTTAACTCTCCTTTTTTTTTAATCTATTATTATTGTAATTGGGTGCAAATGCGGAAGCTGTTTCTCGTGTTCTGCGCCTATTTTAATCGCTCTTAACTTATACTCTTTCCCCTTAATTACTTATTTAACATATTAAAATCAAGCATAGTTAATTTACCAAAGAAATTTATACGGTGTTTTATAAAACAGAAGCAGATGCCGAACGAAATATGAAGATTTTAATTTTATACAGCAATACGCACATTCCAAACTAAAAATTTAAGGTGCTGAATTTGCAAAAATTGCGAGCACCTGGCGGAGAGATCTGTCGGAAATTGTAGAAAACTCACAAAACATAATAGGAGTAGATTATTGAATTTCCTTATAGTAATACAAATTTTATATAACAAAAAAAAAAAAAAAAAAAAAAAATGGTATTGTTAAAGAAAATAAACTAAATGTTAAAACTTAAAACCTTTTTCGAATTCGGGAAAATTATGCGGGATGATAGAAACATATTATTTTGTTTTGACCTTTCGCTGCGCCGCTGCGCATTTGAAGTTTCTGTTTTTTTATTGGTACCAAAACTGAATCAATCCAAATGGAATATATAGTTATATAGTTCACGTACGATTACAATGTAATTGGGCTTTAGTGTTTAAATGTTGATGTTCTTCAGCTTGCGATTCAGGTCGTTAAATTTCATTATCTTACGCACAAAGAAATCGCCATAGCGATGTGAGACCTTTGTATCAGCAATATGAATCATATCATCGTCAATATAAAAATCGAGCTGTAATGAAGATGCGTCGTAAATATATTTCGATCTAGAGATTTTCTTTTATTACTCACCTCCGAGCCGGATTTGAAGGTGCCCTCAAGTCCACTGGGACCCTTACTCCAGACCAAATTGCGCATTTTATGCTTAAAGCACAGCAAACGTATCAGCAGCTTTGACACATCATCCTCACTTGCATTGGGATCGATGAAGGAAGCCAGCTTAGTCAGTGGCAATGTGGTGTAGAGCTTCAGATAAGAGCGGGTAGTGGGCAAATCCTTTTGCTGGCGCACTTCATCCATGAAAACCAGCAATTGATGCTCCATGGGATCCTTTACATAGTCCTCCATGGGCGCATCGGCTGCCGGTGGGCAGGGGCTTACAAAACGTGGGCATGCAAAAACAAAGAACGATTTGAAAACCTCGAGGTCGCCGCACTGCATCTTGAACATGGCATCATGGTAGTTCTTTTCGCGCAAAACTTGCTGAATGGATTCATCAATGCACTGGGGATGCAGAACCAGACAAATGGCCAACAGATGATACATCTGCTCTGCCTGCTTGTTGATTTGATCGTTCTGGTAACTACGCGTGCTATACAGCTGCTTGGTGCGCTGAATATATAGCAGGATGTCGGAGAACGTGCGTATGGCATCCGCATAGCGACGCATCATCATATAGGCGAAGCCCACATAATAGGACGTAGATATCTGGCAGGCGGGTATATGCGAGTAGGCCGATTTCTTGTGGATTTCAATGGGCTCCAGCACCTTGATAGCCTGATAGTAATCACCCAACAGGGAGTGCACACGCAGCAGACCAACAAGAGAGAAGTAGCCGAGCATCTTGTAAAAGCCAAGCTTGCCGAAGTCGCCGGCCACAGTTTGTGGATCGATGCCTTGCGAGATGGCCTCCAATTGCTTCTTGATGTTGGAGATATCGACCAGCGAGTGCAGCACATTCAGAATACACAAAATGCTCCACACGTTGCTATGATTCACGCACAGCTGCTGAATCTCATCCTGCGACTTGTCCGTCAAACGTGCGCTGTGGAGAACAATTTATATATTACTTTTCCTCTGTTTTAACTATCGCTGACCAACTTACCGATATTGCGCAAAGTTCTGGAACTGATAAACAAACTCATCCACCAACTCCCACAGCCAGATGTCGGGCAGTTCCAGCATGACAGGATTTTGAGAAGAAATTATTAGATTGAAGAAATCGCAGTAGTTGAAGAAAGAGTTAATGCGTTGCTCCAGCTTCGGGCCACCCGGAATACGAGCGTGGATGTGACGATAGTAAAGCTCCTTGTACAGTATAAGAAAAACCTTGTCGTTGTCCACAATCGCACCCACTTCCTGCTCTTCTGGCCAGGCACTCTTGTCGAAATGATGATCGCTGATCTGCGGGAATGTGTTCTCATACATATTTTGTATGTCATAGAGATTCCCCTCTTTGATCGCCTGGCAGAAGTTCATGAGAAAGAATTTCACATTATCCGGCATGCGGTTGGCGTAGAAGGTGCGCTCGTACTCCATATCCAGCTGTGGATCGCCGGTGTGCGCATAATCATCGTAGAAGTCCTGTAAGAGAAGTTTATTTTCATAGTTTTGTATTTCTGATTTATTTTTGTTGACGGTGGCGGGTCGCAAAAAGTTGGGTTATGTTATTTCGGATCTTTGTTGACTTGCACTTATTGCAAATACACCGCATGCAGTTAGGTTGATGTAGCAATCACTTACCGTGTTACCAAAGTCGTCACCGCCGTACATTTTTGCTTTTTAACTATCTACTGTTTGACACAAAAACCAAAATACTTTGCAACGTCTGACAAACACGCCAACAAATTTTTCTGGCGTAGCAGAAAGGGAGCGTAACGTAATGTGATTCGCTTTACGTAACGCATAAATGAGTAACGCAACGCAAAAATACGCTCGATGTAGTGATGTTAAGAGAATTATTATCGACTATAAAATTTGTTGTACTCGATAAGGTTTAGAATTGTCGGTGTATCGATACTATTAAGTCATTGGGAATCTAGCGAGACGTGTGTGTCATCTAGTCGCAGCGTTAATTATTATTTTCTAATCAAACGACGGAGCGCTGTGTACGTTTGGGCTGGGCGCACGCACAATCATAACAGAGAGTACGAAGTAATATAAGAATAGTGCATTCACCAAGTAAAACAAAACAAATCACACTACATTTTGTTCACGTTGACGACGCCAGAGCCGCGGGGTTGTCCAAACAAATTGTCCCGCTGGCTGCACCAATAAAAGTGCAAATTAACTGTGAACAGTTTCAGTGAAACATTATTAAATAATTCAGTATAAATGTGTTTTTAAAGCGTGGCTTGGTGATTCTCAATAGTACAAACGCCAAAATGAGGCAACCAACTCTAAAACAGACAACAATTTCAATTGGTTGCTGCTTTTTGCTGCTGTGCAGCAACACCGTGGGAATCGCATTCGCAGGTAAAATATGTGCATATTTAACATATGTATATAAAAGTTATAGATTTGTTGAAATATAAGCATTACATGATGTGAAAAACTCTAATTTCGTCTAAGCCAAGTTTTGGGCGTGTTCCCCAAACGCTGAAGACTCGTCATTTTCCATTTTTCTTTTTGTTTGTGCTTCGCTTTTAACTCGCTCTTCAAAACGTAACGATCGTGCACTCTCTGAGCTCTACTCTCTATCTCTCTCCCACCTAATGAGATCCAAAACGCTGCTTACGAAGAGCGCTAACAAAACAAAACCAACAAACAACGCCTTTTTTTTTGTATTTTAACTCGTTGTGCTTATTGGAGCATTGTAAAATCTAATTGGACGCGTATTTTATACCGGCTTTTTGTTGCAGTTGCAACTGCAATGCGCATGCCACAAGGTAAACACGTGGCTGCTGCAACCATATGTCAACCTGGCAAAGATTTTCAGAGCGAAGAGATCGACCATTTAGTGTTGCCCATTAATAATTAATTGAACGCTAGCAACAACAATAAACATTTAAAGTTCATGTGCAAACATTTGATGACTAAAAATAAACATTTCTCCGCATTCTCATTGGTAATTTATTTCGATGCTTATAATTATATGCCGGCCAAGGCTTGCATCATACTCACTTCCAAAAATTTTCAACAGGCGGAAATTACTTTTCAATATATCGGTCACGTCATATTTATATATCATTGAGAACATTAGCCAGATACTTTTTATTGTTATTGTACACAAATATCTATGTGTATAAAAACATGCTGAAATTACTACTAAACTGATTTGTCTAAGAATCATAATAAACATACGAAATGAAATTGCATGTAGTTAGGTCATAATGTAAGAAACTAACTCAAGTTAGTTGAGTTATCAAAAACTAGTTCAAATTGAATTCACTATATTGATTATTTTCGACAAAATGTGCGTGTTCTAGTTGGCTGGCTGGTTGCTAACTTCCTTGTCACGACCTGTCACGGATATTCCTTACTGGGCTGGGCATATGTTTGTAATTGTATATAACTTTACTGTGTACATATATCACGATTGACTCTAGCTAATCTGCTGCATGTTTCTCCTCTGCTCTGCTCTGCTCCAACCCCAATTTTCGACAATTTAAGCTGAAAGTCCTTGCCATGCGTTTCGTGCGTTCTATGCTTATTTTTATAAGACTTGCTCCATAGGGTTGCTTAAGAAGCTTAGAGACATGCAAGTTTTATATGCGGAAAATGTTTCACGTCAACTTATTAGACATATTTGATAAATAAAAAAATAAAATATACTCAAAAATATTTCTTTGGCAAATTTCTTGCTATGATAATAAATCAGCATATAAAAAATTTAAAAATCTAGCTGAAGTAAACAATGATAAATGGGTGTAAAAAGCATGAAGCTTCAGCTTTAAAGTCAAACACTAAGTGCACACGTGAACTCTTTTAGCCTTCTTCAGCCACAGTCAGCTAAGGGTTGTTTTCCTTTGTGGTTGTGGCGCTGTTTAAACAGGAACTGCACCCACAAAGGCGACGCCACCTTTGGGGGTTGTCGGGGAACGCAGACAGAGACAATTGTCGAGGCTAGGATTTCCGTGCCCTGTTATCACGGGTGCCACACGTCTAAGTGGGCACTTTTCTATTGCAGTCAAGCTTTTCAGTCGAGTCATGGCAACCAAATATTTACACAAATAAGAGATAACAGAGGAGTCAACAAATTGCACTGCAATAAATAAATGGCATTATATATGCATTTACACTTTTGCTCGACTTTCTCCGGCCATATTTATGGCTCATAAAAATAAGCACCAAAAAGCCGCATGATGCTATAGTCAAGGACCTAAAAAGAGAAAAAGAAAACGAATATATATAGACAAATTATAATTGAATATATTCTTGAACTCAAATTGTATTGGCCTCTGTCCAAGCGAGTATCACTTACTTTTCTTTCTCGGAAATTTTGCAATTTTATTTATGCCAGTGACAGTTTATATATGTAAGCGCATTTATCCAATAAGACTATTTAGGTCAGACAGCCAATTTTTCGAACTTTTTAAGAAAATAATCAAGTGTGCTCGACTGGAAGATGGCCTGGCACGTGTTTACTTAAAGAAAATCGCCTAGAGTGGGGATAGGGAGCTGTGAATTGGGTGGATAAAGAGATCGCGTTAGTAAGGGAGCCAAATGAAGAGAAAGAATGAGAGAGCGAAAGAAAGACAGGGTGGGAGGGGTAGACAGAAAGAGAGAATGACAAAAAAAAAGAGAGAGAGAGAGAGAGTGAGATACAAAGATATACAGCAAAAGGATAAATAAATAAAACCAATTATAATCACAAACAAAGTCTAATAATTCTCTTTGCTTTACAGATTCCTTCTCCGATTATTTCTCCGACTATGAGTGCAATCAACCACTGCTGGAGCGTGCGGTTCTAACAGCAACATCATCTCTAACAGAACGTGGCCCAGAAAAGGCGCGTTTAAACGGTAAGTCAAAATACTTTACACATTCGTTTCGTATTCGTTTCATTGTTTCTTTCGTTGTCGTTGATTATTTCTTTGAGTTTTTTGAAACTGTTTTTAGTTTGCTTAGACTTTTGATTACCTTATGCTTTAGTAGAGTTATGTTTAGTTTTTGTATTAATTATTTTTGAATTGAGCGCCGCCAAATCAGACGCGTTGACAACTCTACTCGCTGCTCGGCGATGCTAACTCGCTCGTGGCGTGTCGGCGCGTTGGGCTGAATGCCCAAGAGGAAGAGGAAGCAGCGCTTTGGCAAATTAGTTGATTAAGCGAAAATAGGCGACAATGTTTTGTAATTTAATAGAATAAAAAGGCATTAGCACACGGTTTGCACCTCGAATCCAATGAACAAACACATCTGCTCGCGATGGGCGTTCGATTTAAGCACATGGACGCCCACGCTTCCGCAGCTGACTCACGCCGTGGCTGCCATACAGCCCGAGGAGCGGAAGCGTTTGATGAAATTTCATTTTATTGATGACTTTCTGTCCTCGCTAATTGGACGGCTGTTAATGCGTAAATTTGTGAGCACGTGCAGCAACGTGCCCTACCATCAAGTGCAATTCGCCAGGGATGTGCGCGGCAAGCCCTACTGGGTGCAGGATCAGCAATCTGAGAGCACGCCCCCTCTCAGCTTCAATGTCTCCCATCAGGGCAAACTGGTGCTGCTGGCGGGCGTTAAGGGCGACAGCAAAGACGATGCTGAATTCGGCATTGGAACGGATGTCATGAAGATCGAGTACAACGGCGGCAAGCCTCTCTCGGAATTCTTTCGACTCATGCAGAGCAAGTTCTCGCCACAGGAATGGAGCTACATCGGCAGGCCGCAGCACAATGAGCGGGCGCAGCTGAAGGCCTTAATGCGTCACTGGTGCCTGAAGGAAGCCTATGTCAAGGAGCTGGGCGTGGGCATTACAGTTGATCTGCAGAAGATAAGCTTTGACATGGACACGACACACCCCTTGGAGGAGGCCTCGTCGCCGTTATGTGGTAGCACGCTCTGCTGCAATGGCACGCCCATGACTCAATGGCATTTCGAAGAGCATTTATTGACGCCCAAGTACTGTGCGGCCATTGCATTCCGTAACTGCCTGCCACTGGAGCATGCGAAATTTGAGTTTCTACCATTCGAAGAGCTGATCGAACAAAGTCCCAAAGCCGACCAACCCGATGTGGTTGCCTACTGCCAGAAAGCGCTTCTCAAGCCGCATAAACGACATGAATAGCTAGTAATATTTGATTCCCAAATAAATGTACATATATATATAGTTGTGATTTTGATAATCATGCTGGCGTGGCCAGCAGCTGTTCTCATATATGGAAACAGCACAGAATAAGCCGGAAATGTGCTCAAAAGGCAATAAACCCAAATCGTAGGCACTCGCGATTTGCTTCTAATGGGCACCAGACATGGGCCAGACAACTTTGTTTGCTTTATATATATATAGATATATATATACATATATATGCAAACAGGACGAGGCTTGGCAAGGGTAGCGATTTGGTAGCTAGGTTCAGCGACTTTTGTTTTTTTCCTCTTTTTTTTTTTTATATATTTATTTTTATTGTGTTATACCCGAATTGTTAACCAAAGTTTTATCGATGGGGCAAGTTGTATGCGGCATTGAACCCAACTTGAGGGCAATTTAGCTCATATAAATCGCAGGCAATCGGATGCTCTATAGATGCAATATGCCCAGAGTGTTCACACAGTCTTTGGTCACGGAGTGCAGCCATTTAAAAACAAAAGCGAAATCTCCGCATGCAGCAATTGTTTTTGCCCATGTCCTTTTAGTGTTAACACCCCTATGCGAATGGTACTTTGCCACAGAGGGTTGGGCCCTTACCCTTGCCATGGCTGTGAAGGACCTTTGCTGGTTCTACATATATATATATATATATATATAGGGTCGCAGCACTTGCAGCTGTCAAACGAAATCGGTCTAAATTATGTCCTCTTAATTGGCGGGCAACGTTTTGTCTATGGCTAATCGAAACCCCCTAACCCCTGAATTGCATTTGTTTTCATTTTATTTTCATTTTTAAATTATGTATCGTTAATTTTTATTGCCCAACCTCCCACCCGCACCCGAACTCCATACATAAAGCTGGCACCTCGTGGTCAGCCAAGAGCTCGGACTTTGACCAACGTCTGATTATTGATTTGGGTGTGGTGAAGAATGTCACGCACATTGCGCTGCAAGGACGCCCGCACAGCAATGAGTATGTGACCGAGTACACCATTAGCTACGGCATCACAGATCTCGAATTTGCCGACTATAAAGAACCCGGCGGCAATGTTAAGGTAAGCGCGAACCACCCGCCTCTTCATATGACACTAATCCAATCACTGAATGTGCGTGTGTGTGTGTGTTTGCTAAGTTACTTCTGGTGGCATTGGTGGTGCTGGCGGTGGTGGTGGTGGCTCGCTGGCTGGCTGGCTAGCAGCTGCACATTTTTACAGATTTTCACTAATATTTAACCTTTTTTTTTTTTGTTATTTTGTTTGCATTTGTGCTGTATTATTTGCTTTCGCTTTGTTTGCATGTCTCTTTATTTAATGTGTTTATGTGTTGGTTTTGGCTTGTTTAGCTCTTCACACTCGTTGTCTAACTTAATCTTAATCTTAACCCGCATTGCAAAACTGGTGCAGGTAACGCTGCTTGGACACCCGTCGAGAATACCTATAATCACTTTCTAACATTCGATCTGGGCGGGGCACACATGGTCCGCAAGATCGCGACCATGGGACGCATGCACACAGATGAGTTTGTCACGGAATATATTGTTCAATATTCGGATGATGGTGAATACTGGCGCTCGTATGTGAATCCCACGAGCGAGCCGCAGGTACAGTGACTAACAACTAATTACACAACTAACTATGGAAAAACTCACTCGTAACTAAATCTTAATTGATGAAGAAATAAACTTGACTTAATATGGGCTGTCTCTCTGGTTGTTGGCTTTGTTAATATTCATTTCGATTCTCTCGATTCTCCTGTTTGTGTAGATGTTCAAAGGCAACACGGATGGCAACTCCATACACTACAATGTCTTCGAGGTGCCCATCATAGCACAGTGGGTGCGCATCAATCCCACACGCTGGCATGATCGCATCTCAATGCGTGTCGAGCTCTATGGCTGTGAATACAGTGAGTCTCCCTTGCAGTTATGCAACGTATATAAGATATGATCAAGATCACATTTAATCAATACACATTTCTCGCCTAGTCTCTGAGAACCTTTACTTCAATGGCACTGGACTGGTGCGCTATGATCTGCGCCGTGAGCCCATCGCCTCGTCACAGGAGTCCATACGCTTCCGCTTCAAGACGGCCTATGCGAATGGTGTCATGATGTACTCGCGTGGCACTCAGGGCGATTATTATGCGCTGCAGCTGAAGGACAATAAGATGGTGCTGAATCTTGATCTGGGCTCAGGCATCATGACCTCCCTCTCTGTGGGCAGTCTGTTAGACGACAATGTGTGGCACGATGTTGTCATTTCTCGCAATCGACGGGACATCATCTTCTCGGTGGATCGTGTCATCGTGCGTGGTCGCATTCAAGGCGAGTTCAGTCGCCTCAATCTTAATCGAGAGTTGTACTTGGGCGGCGTGCCCAACGTCCAGGAAGGTCTCATAGTCCAACAGAACTTCTCGGGTTGCTTGGAGAACCTCTATTTGAACTCGACCAATTTTATAAGAACCATGAAGGAAAGCTATGAGCTGGGAGAGGCGTATCTGTATAACAAGGTCAACACAATCTATGCCTGCCCCTCGCCGCCCATTTATCCCGTTACGTTCACTACCCGCGGCTCGTATGTTCGACTGAAGGGCTATGAGAACTCGCAGCGCCTGAATGTTTCGTTCTACTTCCGCACGTACGAGGAGAGCGGAGTGATGCTACATCACGACTTTTACTCTGGCGGCTATATCAAAGTCTTTCTGGAATTTGGCAAGGTTAAGATTGATCTCAAGGCCAAGGACAAGCCTCGCATCATCCTGGACAACTATGACGAGCAGTTCAACGATGGCAAATGGCATTCGTTTGTGCTATCCATTGAGCGCAATCGCCTGATCCTCAACATCGATCAACGCCCGATGACAACGACCAAGAATCTGCAGATAGCCACTGGACGCTTGTATTATATTGCTGGCGGCAAGGAGAAGAATGGTTTTGTGGGCTGCATGCGGCTCATCTCTGTGGATGGCAACTACAAGCTGCCTCAGGACTGGGTGCAGGGCGAGGAGGTTTGCTGTGGCGATGAGGTGGTTGTCGATGCCTGCCAAATGATTGATCGTTGCAATCCAAATCCCTGTCAGCACAAGGGCATCTGTCATCAGAACAGCATGGAGTTCTTCTGCGATTGCTCACAAACTGGATATGCCGGCGCCGTTTGCCATACCTGTAAGATAGGAAGGCCTTAGAAGTGTACAGGAAACTCAATTATTTTCTCTTTACAGCCAACAATCCATTGTCCTGCCAGGCTTTGAAGAATGTGCAACATGTGCAGCAGCGCGTTAACCTGAATATCGATGTCGATGGCAGCGGTCCTCTAGAGCCCTTCCCCGTTACCTGCGAGTTCTATTGTGAGTGTGTGCGCTTTGCTTTATATAGCAGCTAATCTAATCAGTTCAATCCTCAGCCGATGGTCGCGTTATTACCACACTGAGTCACAGCCAGGAGCATACGACCACTGTTGATGGCTTCCAGGAGCCTGGCTCCTTTGCGCAGTCCATCATGTACGATGCCAATCAGCTGCAAATCGAAGCACTTCTCAATCGCTCGCACAGCTGCTGGCAGCGTCTGAGCTACTCCTGTCGCTCCTCGCGTCTCTTCAACTCGCCTTGTAAATACATTTTATTTAAATCTCAAGATTTCTTGTAGTTGTTAATTGTCACTTATTTGTATAGCTGAACCTGGTAACTTCCGTCCCTTCTCCTGGTGGATCTCACGTAACAATCAGCCCATGGATTACTGGGCTGGCGCTCTGCCTGGTTCGCGCAAGTGCGAGTGTGGCATTTTGGGCAAATGTCACGATCCAACCAAGTGGTGCAACTGCGATTCGAATAGCTTGGAGTGGATGGAGGATGGCGGCGATATCCGGGAAAAGGAACATCTACCTGTGCGTGCGGTTAAGTTTGGAGACACTGGCACGCCGCTGGATGAGAAGCATGGCCGCTACACACTGGGCCCCATGCGCTGTGAGGGCGACGATCTGTTCAGCAATGTTGTTACATTCCGCATAGCCGATGCTTCCATTAATTTGCCGCCCTTCGATATGGGTCATTCGGGCGACATTTACCTGGAATTCCGTACCACACAGGAGAACGCAGTGCTGTTCCATGCCACTGGCCCCACCGACTACATCAAGCTAAGTCTGATTGGCGGCAACAAGTTGCAATTCCAGTATCAAGCAGGCAGCGGTCCACTGGGCGTCAACGTTGGCACCAGCTATCATCTGAACGACAACAACTGGCACACGGTGAGCGTGGAGCGCAACAGAAAGGAAGCTCGTCTAGTTGTTGATGGCTCCATAAAGGCCGAAGTGCGCGAGCCACCAGGCCCCGTGCGTGCTCTTCACCTGACTTCGGACCTGGTGATTGGCTCTACAACAGAGTATCGTGATGGCTACGTGGGCTGCATACGTGCGCTCCTACTCAATGGCAAGATGGTTGACTTGAAGCAGTACTCGATGCGCGGTCTCTATGGCATTAGCACTGGCTGCGTGGGTCGCTGTGAATCCAGTCCGTGCCTCAACAACGGCACCTGCATTGAGCGCTACGATGGCTACAGCTGTGATTGCCGCTGGAGTGCATTCAAGGGACCCATTTGCGCAGATGGTACTCCAGTCTATAAGTTAATTATTGCTATCTTGACTAATACATTTCGATTACAGAGATTGGCGTCAATTTGCGTTCCAGTTCCATTATTCGCTACGAGTTCGAGGGCTCGTTCCGTTCCACAATTGCTGAGAACATTCGTGTGGGTTTCACAACCACCATACCCAAGGGCTTCTTGCTCGGCTTCTCTTCGAATTTGACTGGCGAATATCTGACTATACAAATTTCCAATTCCGGTACTTGGCTAATTTTTCTATTATAGATCGAACATGTTTTAACACCCCTCTGTTTTCTCTTTGCAGGTCATTTGCGTTGCGTCTTTGACTTTGGCTTTGAACGTCAGGAAATCATATTCCCCAAGAAACATTTCGGCTTGGGTCAGTATCATGACGTGCGCTTTATGCGTAGGAACAGCGGCTCAACGGTGGTGCTGCATGTGGATAACTACGAGCCCGTGGAGTATCACTTCGACATCAAGGAGTCAGCCGATGCACAGTTCAATAACATTCAGTACATGTACATTGGCAAAAACACTTCCATGACCGACGGTTTTGTGGGCTGCGTATCGCGTGTGCAGTTCGATGATATTTATCCACTGAAACTGATGTTCCAGCAGAATCCGCCCAATAACGTCAAATCGCTTGGCAGTAAGTTTAGCTTGGCTTGGCAAGCACAACAGCAGGTTAACATTTTCGACCTTTCTTGCAGCTCAATTAACTGAAGACTTTTGTGGCGTCGAGCCGGTGACGCATCCGCCCATTGAAATTGAGACCAGACCGCCACCGCTGGTGGATGAGGAGAAGTTGCGCAAGGCTTACAATGAAGTGAACGCTGTACTGCTGGCATGTAAGTTCGAGGTGTTCAACCGACGAGGTTTCCCTTTTAATACTTTGCTCTTCCTTTTTAGTCCTGCTCGTCATACTCTTCCTATTGCTGCTCTTGATGTTCTTCCTTATTGGTCGCTATTTGCATCGGCACAAGGGCGATTATCTGACGCACGAGGATCAGGGCGCCGATGGTGCCGATGATCCGGATGATGCTGTACTGCACTCAACCACTGGCCATCAGGTCAGAAAGCGTACAGAGATTTTCATCTAATAACAGACAGTGAAGCAGTAATCTCTGAAAATCAATCGCCTTAAAAAAACAAATACAACTGAGCACACAAAATATATATAAAAGAGAAATCCACACACAAAATCAAACGAATTAGGAAACGAATATTATAATTACAATTGAGAATAGAACCCAAGGCTTTTTCCCCCTTTTCACACACTGCCAATTATTTTGAGCAATACATTTGCTTTGAAATTGGTTAATAATTGGTTGCTGATTTTTGATTAGGTTTTGCTTTTGTTTGATGGCAAATCGAATATTATTTTTATTTTACTTTGTACTTTTGACCACTCAATAGTCATCACAAAACCGTCCATTTTTGTTTAGTTGACTTTATTTTACACAAATTGTTTATCAGATTAAGTTACAATTGTACTTTAAGTTATCAACCAGCCAATTACATTTATGCATTGTGTGCCCAGATATATATATATCTACATATATCTCTGGACGGACGTGCACAACTACACCAACGACATTCCATTATATTTAATACGTTATAGTTTGTTCTCTGTCTCTCTAAATATTATGTAAATCATTTCAAATGTCTTCTAATTTACACAAATCGAATATGATGAAACATTTTTTGTGCTAAGTTTTAAACAAAATGAGAAAAACGAAATTGTATTTTAGGAAAATGCAATTGCATATTTGAAATATACTTTAGCATATATGGATATGTATATGTATATATGACTAGTACTATATACACTGTGTGTTTACACTGACATAATAAAGATTTTTCAAATTTCAATAAAATTAATTATATATATATATACAAAGAAAATACTTTATGAACTTACCTTTTGGTTGATCTATGAAAACTAAAATTGATTTTTTTTCAGTCTCTTAATGTTTATTTAATATAATGTTGTATACTAAAATATATATATATATGAGTGTATGTGTGTGTGTGTATGTTTGTGGGTGTATACATATTTAGAGGCTATTCGATATTTCGTATAATATATATATATAGTCGTGTATGTTTAACAATATCGTTTAACGCTATTTTTGATTACTACAGGATTTTGGTTTCTACTACGATGATGGAATATTTCGTATTCACTTGTTTGAGTGTATGTGTGTGTGAGTGTGTGTTAGTGTTTGTGTATGTGTATATATAATAATGCTATTTGTATTATCCAACAACAGTCTAAATTGCATCTAAATTTAAGATAGAGTAACACTGGGTGGGTAAATCTATATGTCTATATGTATATATGTATGTATATGCAATACTTGGCAATAAGTCGCTATTGAGGTCTTCATTAAACGCCCTCCGAATTGCTAACAGTTCGAACTTAGCCAGAGCTTATGCTAATTACACATTCGTTGTGTTATTGGGTCTATCGCAGCCGAATCGCTGACTCGTGATATTTGTTCTAGTTATGCCTACTGCAGTTATATGTGGGATATGTTCCAACATTTCTAAATGGAAGTCAACAGATTGCTGTATTGATTATGTACTTGGATAAGTATTTAGTTGATACTCGTATGTGTAGACATACATATGTATACAATATATATATGCTTCGATATTCTCTGTGTGCCCCAATCCCAACAAAATTCTCCCTCTCTATCTCTCTCTTTCTCTCTTCGAAAAACTATCACAAATCGTAAATTGCAAAATATAAAGCACAAAACTACAAGCCAAGGGGCGTGGCTGCGCCCCTCCCCCCAACACACTTACTGGCAAGTGCAGCATATTGTCCACAGTCCATTCCCGCCAAGCGATCCAGCCGTCGCCGTCGTCCACTAGTTGTGCACATTGCTGTTGGCCAGCATGCGATAGCGATTCAGCAGCAAGACGGCAGCATCCTGGGCGGGCTTTATCTTGCCGTGCGCCTCCTCGTAGGCGCCCAACAGGATTCGTTCTCACAAAATCGTGCAGAGCACAAACAGCATCGAGACCAGGCACAGCATGGCCACAATATCCCGATGCAGCTTCCGATCCCGGTAGAAGGGACGCGTTGTGAAGCTCTCACTGCGCGCCCGGCGCAGCAGCCACAGCGGCACAATCAGATGCAACAGATCCGGCAGCATAAAGCCAATGTCGCGCACCACCTGATGGGCGGCGCCCTCGCCGCGCACCACATTCATGAAGAACTGATCGAAACTCCCAGCCAAAATGTGCAGCAGCGCAATGCCCACAATGCAGAACACCTTCTTCGGCTTGACCACGTTCGTTGTGCTGGCCAGGTGCATCACCAGCACGGTGGAGAACAGCTCCGTTATCTGTGAAGGCAGGTGAAATTTAATTATAAAAGTATTACATGCCCTAGTTGAAAGGAAAACATATCTTGGCTAAGCTTTATTTGCATAAGAGGATAGCCTTCCTACTACTAAATTAAAAAGTTGCCGTGGAGACTTTTTATATAAAATTTGATTTTTGTTGGAACAACTACATATTAAAATCTACTTAAATTGTGCAACAAAAGTTACATAATATTGGTCTAACTATATTTAATAATTGGCTATTTAGTTCATGTAAGAAAAATGTCTCTATATACAAGTTTAAGTCTAAGTTTAGTATAATGTATAAAAAAGTTTTCTATATATCAAAATCATGTGTCAAGGTATAATCGAAGCTCTTCTCGTTGGCATGGAAATTCATTTTGAAGGTTTAGTTCATGTATGAATGAATTTTCTCTATATTATTTTAATATGAAAAGCTCTATTTCTGCTTTTTCTAGTTAATTTAGCCCACATTCATCCAGCGCTTAGCTCATGTATGCAAAAGTTTTCTATGTATACAACTAATATGAAAAGCTGTAATCTTTAATGGAAATCTGAACTGTTGTTCTGTGCCTGTTCAGTTTCAGGTCAAACTATTTTCTCCAGCCCTTTGCTCCTTAAACCTGTTGCCTTTGTATGCTTAATTGGTCCTGGCCGATTGGCCATGCTCATTAACCTAGGCAAACGCTTGCAACGTGCCATTTTGCATTTAACAAATTTGTGTACGACCCAGCGTAGTAGTATATATGAATATACACTTATTATTATATATTATTATATACGTATATGTGTGGCTAGAGTAGTGGCCATTCGGTGGCTGGCCTGGGCTGCCTATAAAGTTTAGAAGTGGCGCACGTGAAGCACGGATAGAAAGTTGAGCTCAACACGAACACCGGCGCATATTGTGCAAGTTTTAAGCATCGCAATTTTTCAGTTGCTTTTGTTTTTGTTTTGTGTTTCTGAACTTTGGTAATAAATTATGAATAGCCCAGTGGCCGGACCCACTTGTCCGCCCTGCCCAAGCACACATGGCTGGCCGGACTGTGTGGTGAAGTGCGCTAATATGCCGAAGGCTTACCGTGAAGAACAGTTGGTGATTCCATTGATTGTAGTAATCGTCGTTGTAGTAGTTGATGTACGCCCACCAGGCATAATAGTGCGAGAAGATGGAGAGCAGGAAGAGCAGCAGCATCGAGTAGCGCACACGCTGCTGCAGGATCAATGCGATGAGCCGCTTGATGCACTCGTAAAGTGCAATTACCGCAAAGACGGTAAGTATCCACATCTTGAAGCTGTTCGGCGTCGCATTGAAGTACATGTGCTTGTATGCGGCCACTCCCGACTCGTAGGGGCCCTTGAATACGGTGTCCCAGCAGGAGCACGTACAGAAGTGCCTATCCACATAGCGTGCATAATTCTCCCAAAAGTACCAGAGGATGACGATATGAGCCGGCGGTATCAATGCGGGCGCCAATGAGCCGCAAGCGGTGGGCAGCCAGGTGACATCAAACATGCTCTCCCACTCTCTCCCTCCCTCTCTTACTCTCTCTGTGTCAATGCCAATAAAAGCCGTTAAGCTGCTGTGTGCGTTCGACGGCGGCTTGACTGCGTGACAAGCTGATTGGCTGTCTCGCTGTCTGGCTGATTCTGTGCCTCTTTCTCTCTCTCTCTCTCTCTCTTTCTCTCACTCCGTCTCTCTGGCTTACTTGCACTCCCAGCGGGCTGCTCATTAGTCCATCGTCCAAGAGTTAAGCTGTAAGCAGAGTTTGTGTAAAAAATTTTGGTTTCCACTCCTAATTGCTACGCACACACATTTACAACACACAAATTAGCATTAGAGCACGACTCTTAGTCGCTCAGTTCTACAATAGAAAGGGCAGCAGTAATACCAATTTGCTGTGGAAAAAGAAGAAAAAGAGTTTTTCGCCTATAGTTTTTATGTATTAATGAAAGTGTTCGAGCACACAGATTTTAATCAGCTTTCTGCTTTTGTGATTTGTATGTAAATGCAGAGCATATCCTTTAAAAAAGCAGTGTAAATGTTTTGCTTTTAAACGCAAAAGCAAAATATTTACTCAGGACTGCACGGCCAACTCGATATGCAACGGAAATATGCAATATGCAATATGAAAAGATTGCACCTTATCTATGTTAGTTATCTTTATTATCTTTAGTTGTCCTTGATATTGATTGCTGCGTAAAGTACAAAATTTTTACTTTATTGAATCGAGTTACAGAGCTAACTTACTATAGACATTAACTCTGTACTCGACAGTCTCAGATTCTTTTAGACTGCAATTGAATTTTAATTGTTTTATTATTTTGTTGTTTGATTAGGTTTGCTATGGTAATTGTTAATTAAGGATTAATTTAAATAGAACAAAGTCAAATCAAATCAGCTAACCATATTTTAGTATAGTTACACCCTAGTTATAACCTTGTCCAACCCTAGTCGTGTCTTAGTTATACACTAGTCTTACCCTGGTTATTTCCTAGGCATTCCCTAGTCATTCTATCGACATATCCTAGCTACATCCAAGTTATACCTTACTTATACCCAAACATCTCATAGCAGTCTCCTATATATAGCTTCAATTTCTGTTTTGTAATCGTAAAAATACCCTCATATATTTTGCTAATATTTGCATTGCCAAATGATTTGTTCTATTTATGAAAATAAACACAACAGTCATGCCCAATTACACTGTACAGCAAAACACATAGTTTTTTGTTTGTGCTACGACCTAAATAAATAGAAACTTTTTTGTAGATGCTAAAAAATAGACTTTCTGAAAAATAATCTTAATCAGTATAAATTCCAAGGCTTTTGCCATAATAGTTGAAAGTAGAAACTTTCCTTGGAGACTAGAGGTAGTTAAATTTTGTAGCTAAACTTGAAAAAACATAGACTCCGAGAATCGATTTGTAGATAAAATAAATGAGACTGTGCACAGAGTTCCCTTGTAGCACAGTGCTATCAATCAGCAATATTTCAATTGTCGCAGAATATTTATATGCAGATGCAGATGCATATATAAATAGCAGAGGCGCCCTATGCTCTAGGAGTCCCTTAATTTTCTTATTTTTTGGCACATGACAACGTGTGAGCCGAGAGCAGTGAATGGACGTAGCCGAGCCTGTTGCTGGGAATGGAGCAATTATAAATTCATGCGCTTGTCAGGGCGGGAAAGACAACCAACTGGGCAGGCGGCCCATCGGACGCCCAGACGCAGTATCCAAATGCATCAGCCGACTCCTGGCACGGCTGCCAAAATACAAATGCAGAAAAAGAGAGGCAAAGCGTGCGGTCATTAGTGCCTCACACTGTGCTGAAGGTGGCCCGAGAGGCGTGTGGCAGCTAGTTGAGGCAGATAAAAAAAAAAAAAAAAAAAAAAGGGAACCTCTGCTACGGCTGCTGCTGCCCCTTTCAAGTGCTGCGTCTGTTTAATTAATGCCGTATCTGAATTTGCAGCTGCCAGTGAAAAAGTATTTCGATTTGATTTTTCATTCCTCTACTCTTTTATTTTGTCTTAATTTCGTTTCATTCTGTTCTGTTGTTGTTGTTGTTGCTGTTGCGCCACAGTTTAATAAAAACAAATAATGAAAACAAACGCAACGTGCACATTGACGTCATAGTTCTTCAATGAAAACTTTTATGCGTGTTTAACTTGTATAGAAATCGGCAGAAAAAAAAAAGAAGAATTAAAATCAAGTACGAAAAGAACCGTGAAAGTGAAGTAGAAGAAGAATATGAAATCAATGCAAACAGCATTAAAAACCAATTCGAATTGGATGCAGTTCGATAAGACTCGAAAATGCTCTAATATGTAAATGAATGAAGCTTATGGAGAAATAGATACGTGTGTATATATATAGAGAGAGAGGGTGTGTGTGTGTGTGTGTTGGCATAGGACGGCTAGAGTTGAACTAGTTTTTGCTGACATGAAATTATCGATACGTATACTTGATTTTAATTGCTGCATTGAATTAGGTTGGCCATTGCCGATAGCAAATGGGTAAGTGTATTAGTTAGAGTGAACGTGAGTGATATTTGATATACCATTATAGTAATGCACTTAAAATAGAGAGCCAAATTTAGGTATATACTTAATTAACAATAGCAACTAGTTTTGTTCCAAATTTATAGCTTTTAGAGGCGCTGTACATAGATAGACAGATTATGCCAGCAATTACATACAATATGTAATGCGAGAGTATTAAAAGACAAATGCCATTATATGTTCAATCTATTAACATTCACATTTGTAATTAGTTTAATGTAAATGCAAATACTGCAATTATCTAAATATGCATATATAAATATATATTTGTATATATAGAAACAAACTATTGGCCAACTGGCAACTGTTCAATCAGCTAAATATTTGTATCAAAATATTAAAAAAAAAATAAAATAGAAATCAATATATAGGTATTAAATGCTTCTAGTACATATTCAAATGGGAATCTATTCATTTTTATTATTTATTAAATGCTTTCAGTAGATAATAAAATGCAAAATTACATGCTCATTATAGCTAGAGTATTCGGAAGTGCAACACAAATAAAAACTAGGCGCTCAACTATGGATCAGGACATAAACTTACTACATCTATTGTACTTATGCCCACATATACCACACACACGCACGGACACACACACACACACATGCATGCATGTATATCATAGGGCAACTCTACGTAAAGCCACAATGACTTTCAGCTAGTTGTTGCCGTCAAAGGCTTGCCGGATATCAAGCTCGAGTGGTTATTCGCGCCTTTTTTTTTTGTTTGCCAAGTCATCAAATTAAACTTTGTGCTACTTACGAAGTGCACATAAAATCAAATGTCTACAGGGAGCACAAGCACACACACACATACACACACACAGAGAGAGGGGTAGGCAGTCCACCAAATATCGCGTGCAAAATGTCGCGATTCGTCTGAGGACTTGAAGCAAACAAACACCTACACTTGGAGCAGGGGCAGGAGGAGGAGCAACAGCAGCAACAGCAGCAGCAGGAGCAGCAGCGGCAACAACTACAATTATGGCAGTGACAGTAAAACCGTCAACAGTGCTCGCACCTTCACTTGACTTGCATTGTCGCACAGGCAACGCGTCGTATGTGTAATGCGAAGCTAACACTCGGCAACCCGCTGGGCTTTAGACGTTGCTCGCCCCTCTGCCCCCTGCTTGACTGCTCCAGCAGTACTGTCTGGGTGTGTCGCTCTTTGCCATTGAGTTGGGTTCCTTGCATGCTCATTTGTGTCTACTTCAATTGTCGTTGCCAGTTGCTGTTGCTGTTGTTGTTGTTGCTGTTGTCGTTTACTTGAAGAGCGGCAGACGCTTTGTCTCGGCGCCAGAGCCGGCGGCTTGTTGCTATCATTGTTGTTGTTGCTGTCGCTGTTGTTGTTGTTGTTTACAGTAGCTTTTGGGCAGCCATAAAAGTGTTTTGATATATGCATATGCATAACAGTTAAGGGCGGGCCTTGAAGTGACTTTCGATATGCAATCAACATGGAATACGCATACGCCGCGTGTCTCTCTGCTCAGTGCATGGCCTAATAGCCACTGAGCACGTTACCTTGCACGCACACCTAATGAGCATATATTTAACTGACATACACATGTGTGTGTGTGTGTTTGAGTTCTGTTGACGTGTATGCTGGGATAAATCGTTAGCAATACCATATATATATATATGTATATATATCGAGCAATTGCCTATATTTGTTTGGTCAATATTTATTTTGGCTGCAAACACGATATGACGTTTCCTATCAGACACACATATACCCACACACACACACCCACACACCTGCATACCTGCCCGCCTGCCTGCCTGCTGTGCACACCCACTACAATTGGCTCTGTCAAGTCTGTGTTGTTGACTGCGAATTGCCTTCAGCTGCTCGTCGCTGCTGCATCCTCGTTAGTTGCGCGCAAGTACAATGAACCAGCCGAGAGGACGCTCTGGCTGCTGCTGCTGCTGCTGCTGGTGCCACAGACGCAGGCAACGTGGCCGGTTAAATGTCTACTAAACGGCACCCAAAGGTACAACAGCAACTGCGCTGGGTACATACAAGCGGTGAAAAATCGAAAGAAAATGAAGTAGCCATAATATTTAGTTGGGTTAAGTAAGGTCGCCACACGCAACAGCAGCAGCAGCAGCTTACAGCTTAATCTTTGAGTGAGAAACTGTGGCACCCACACACACACTCACATACATCCAAGCAAACTCCCATTTTAGCTTTACATTTTATGCTCCTTTGGTTAGAGGCTTGTGCTGCAGCATCATGACTTTTGGTTTTGTTTTTTTTTTCACAGCTTATTTTAGATTGAAAATTAACAAAAATCAAATCCGATTTTCTTCTATTCTTTTTTTCAGCTAATGCACTTGGAAATCGGTGTAAAAATCTGTTGAAACAAACAAACCGCGAGCGCGTCGTGAAAAAGCCGACTGAAATTTTTGTTATGCTGGCTGCGTGTGAAATTCTGCTCTTCAGCAGCGACGTCAACGCCGACGAAGCTGACGCTGACGACGCGACGCCGAAGAGGAGAACGTCGGCATCGTTAACGGCATCGGCATCGGCATCGGCATTGCCAACGCTAACGCCGGCGCTGGCGTCGTCGTCGTCGTTGCTGTTGTTGTTGCTGTCTTTGTCTGGCCCATGTATTCTAGCAACAAAATAACGGTTTGCAGCTCTCAGCTGTTGACACCCTCGCTAGGGCTATTCTGCTCGCGAGTGCACGACAAATACTGGGAAATTTCGATATGGTGTAAAGGGAATTGCATGCGGCGGCTGTAGTTTGAGAAAATAAAGTATACGCACTGTTGCTGCCGGTCAAGCCGTGCTTCTCTCCATACACACATATGGGCATATTTGCGTGAGTGTGTGTGTGTGTGTGAGTGTGCGCTTGTTGAAGGCATATTAAAACTATATTATTTTTATTTATTGCCTCGGGGCAGTCTGTGCACCTGTTGCCGTTTATTATTATTGCGCGTGCCTCTGACCAAATGCCTGGCAACTGGCTTAAGAAAGGTGACTGGAGTTTAGTAAATTGACTATTATTGACTATTAGCTTAACTTATGCTAAAAATACAAACAATTGAAACCATCAAGTGATATTTTGTTATAGTTTTCATATGTAACAAAGAGAGACATTTATTTAATAGATTTTAAAACAATCAAGTACAAGTGGAGGTTAAGCATTTCATATATAAATACAAATTAGCTTTGCCACAAGTTAAATACTAACTTGAGTACAGTCAGAGTGCATTTTAAATTATGCTAATTAGATGTTTTCCCTTCTATTTCTATTTATTTTTGTTTTCTTTTTGGGTTTGCTTTGTTTAGCTAGATTTTTTTCCTTTTAAATTTTTATTGTTTTTTTTTTTTTTTTTTTTTTTGCCTTGTTGGTTTCTGGACAGTTGCAGCAAACATTCGATGTGGCTGTGTCGTTTCATTGTTCTCCGTAGAAAATTTATACAATGCTCTCATGCTCGGCTGGCAATCGTTTGTTTGTTTGTTTGGTTTGGATTTTGTTTGTTTTTTTGTTTCTGGGGTGTCTCCGTACTTTTGTTGCAGTTGAATGTGAAAAATTGTGATTTTGATTTTACAGTCACAGGATTTGACTTGAAATTTACTCAACTAGATATTCAATAATCCATACTTCTTGACTTACAATAGTAATGCATAAAGCTCGGATAGTGTATTTAGACATCGACTAAGCTCTCATCTAGCCTTACTCTTTCTAATTACAATCTTTTTCAGGTCACTCTTAGCATATTTGTCCATTGTTCTGTGTTTCGGTTTTGTTCGTGGCCACATAAAGGATATTGCTCGAACAAATTCTTATATATATATATATATATATACAAGTTGACATCTATATATGCATATATATATATATAGATTTAAGCACGGAACACTTAAAGAGTATAAATTCGTACAATATTGCTGCTTATGACTATTTTTCATATTTAGATCGAGCTTAAATAGCTTTTGTCGGTTTTGTTTTTGTATTTAGGTACAAGTACTCTGTCAGGCCTCGGTCAAGGTCTTGGTTGAACAGAAATTTAGCTGAGAGAATTTCGCATAATAAGAATATTTAATTCACATTCATAATGTATAATTAATTGTTCAACACATTTGCATAATCATATTTGTACATTTAATAAGCTTAATTAAACAAACTGCATTTATTATACATTTCAATATGATTTTCAATGATTTGCAGCTCAAATTTATATATATTTATTTTAATAAATTATTTACCCAGTATATATTTATGAATGTTAATGCTTTTTGACACGTTTCGTATATTAAAAAAAAAAAAATAATTGAGCTACATTCGTTGCGGAAATGTAACAGTTGGCCACAAATGAATTACGACACCTGAACAGCTAATTTTATTTATATATATATAAATGTATATATATATGTATGTATGTACATTTGAAGTGCGTTATTTATGTCTCTTTCCCTGATGATACATTTTCGTTTCCCTGCTCTGCCTCATGCCCAATAGACACTTACTTATTACACTAGACTTATTAAGAGCCTACTTAAGGGTAGACCTCACGTATACTATATACTACAATAAATACCTATTAACATTTTAGTTAAGCTCCCTCAACCAGACCTCTATCACTTCGTTGCCCACAGCAATGTTGTATTAGGTTTGCCTTGGAGTTGTATATATACTTGATGTACCCTACATCAATTTATCTATAAGCTGGCTATAATTGCTCTCCACCATGAGAGCAGACTTCGCACCGTTAAGTAATACAATGGGCAAGTATATCATTACAATTTTCCTTTGAACTGCTGCCAAGTGAAGCTCTGCTATGTACAATTCACATGAAAGGCGAGCTTATTTTTCGATTTTTCGATTTTTGTTTGATTATATTTGATGAATTTCATTTCATTTTTATCAAGTCCAACAAGTCTTTCAAAGGGAATATACGAGCTAAAAGACTATATATGCATATCATTAAATATAAAAATAATAATAATACTGAATTTAGTAAGCTCTCTCTTTAAAATTCTTCGGTAAATAAATGATCACGTTTAACACTCGATCTACATCTCTACCTCTTTCTCTCTCTTTATAGTACAAAAATATGGTTATCCGGAATCTCAATTGATATGATAAGCTCTCTGCCTCTCTCGCTCTCTATCTCTCTCTTTAAAACTTACTCTGCTCCATGACCCCTGAGATGGAATTGTTGATCTCGGCCACAACGATGATCTCCTCGTTCTCCTCCGTCTCCTCGGGCACCATCATCAGGTTGTTGTTGAGCGTGTAGGGCTCAGCGCGATTCTCGCAGTCGCCGCTTGAAGGGCGCAACCGATGCGTGAAGGAGGAGCGTGATCGAGTCATATAGGAGGAGCGAGTGGTGGACACGCGTCTGAGGACACCACGTCCATACATCAGCATACGCACCTCGACACGAAATCTGGGATGTGTGGCCGCATACAGATAGGGATCCACGCAGGCAGCCGTCTTGCAGAAGAGCGCGGGTATCATGGAGCCCAGCGGCGTGATGTGCTGCTCCTGGCCAAAGACGCCCATCATGGCGACAATTGCATACGGCGACCAGGCAATGAACCACAAGCCAATAATGGCGGCCACAATAAATGTTAGCTTCTGCTCGGTCTTGGCCTTGTCCTTGCTCGACTGGATGCGGTTCGCCGTGAAGACCACCTTGAGTATGTAGAAGTAGGAGTAGACAATGGAGGCCAAGGGTATGCAGTAGGCGGCCACAAAGAAGAGGGCCATGAAGATGCGTGCCGGCGTCTCCTTGTTGAGATAGTCAAAACTGCAGGTGGTGAGAAAGCCCTCCGGCACATACACCGACAGGCCCACGTCCAGGGCGGGCATCACGGCAAACAGGAAGCTGTAGCACCAGATGGCGAATATGATCAGGTAGGAGCGCAGGCGGGAGTAGCGGCGCAACGGCTGCAGCGGGTGCACCACCACATTATAGCGATCCAGGGCAATGGCCGTCAGAGTGCCAATGGCACAGGTGCCACTCAGGCCACCCACAAATCCATAGAGACGGCAAGCTGCAGGTGAGCAATTGAAACTGATGCTTCTAGTTAATCCCAGTGCGGGCTGCGCACAAGCACTTACCTGCATCGCCCAGCGCTGGGCCCTCCTGGATGTTGTTGTAGATGGCGATGGGGCACTTGACCAGCATCAGGAAGTCGCATATGGCCAGATTCATGACCAATATATTGGCCGGCGTGCGCAGCGACTTCCGGCTGCCGAACATGAAGATGACGAACGCATTGCCAAAGCAGCCGACCACGGAGATTAGGCAATAGAGGCCGGCCATGATGTAGAAGGTGCTGGTGTCAGGCGGCTCGAATTGCAGCCAGAAGGGATTCACCTTTGCTATGTAGGTCAGATCGTATTTGTCGCGATAGTGTATATAGCCGGGATATGAGCTGCAAAGCGAGGTAAATATGCAAATATTAAAAGCCATGCGCTGCCTCTCTTTCTGTATTTCTGTTTATCCTTCTCTATCTGTTACTAGTCTATCTGCATAAATTATTTAAGATCTGCGAATCGAATGGCTGATGCACATATATACCCTGTAAATGTGAGTAGCTGAGGTGATGTGGTATATGCTAAAGGGGCAGTAGGAGACAGCTTAAACAGAGAAATTGCATAAGTGTATATATAATATATAGTATGAAAGTCTGTTAATATCAACAAGTAAGAAGGCTCCAGTCGAGACTGCTCGACTAGGAGATACCCTGAACCCTCCAAGCTGATATTCTAATCAGTCTGGACTTCTTTTATGCACACATACATACACATGCACTTATAAGCACGTGATCTGCTGACTGCGCAGTTAGCAGCGACTGCGCTTGGGCTGCGCTGCAATGTGGGCAATATTATGAGAATTTATTTGTTGAATAATTTCTTTTGTAGACATACGATCTTAATGAAACTTTCAGAGCGTAATCATATGGTTAAAATATGTGTACATTCCAAAGCACAAGTCTCTAGTACTTGAAATACGTTTTTTACAAATTGGGTGCGAAGGGGGCGTGGTATCCAAAATCTGTAAATTACAAAATCTTTGTATCCATTAACTTTATATACAACCCAAATTTGAAGCCTCCAGGTCTAAAAGTGTTAAAATTATGCAGAAAAAACCAAGTCGATTTTTCGATTATTCTCGATAAAAAAGTTATCGGATGAGTTATCGAAAAAATAAAGCAAACTTGTACTGCCTATGGTATGCACGAGTATGCATGCCAAATTTCAGCTCTCTAGCTCTTATATCTTCTGAGATTCTTTTGCTCATACGGACGGACGGACGGACGGACGGACGGACGGACGGACGGACGGACGGACGGACAGACGGACAGGGCTATATCGACTCAGCTCGTCGTGCTGATCAAGAATATATATACTTTATGGGGTCTGCGATGATTCCTTCTGCCTGTTACATACTTTTCACAAAACCATTATACCCTGATTTCCCATTTTCAATGGGTTCAGGGTATAAAAATCATTTATTGTCAACCCTGTCCAGGGTATCGTTGCAACTCTATCTCAACGCTAGTTCGCACATGCAAATCCAACTTTAGAGCCATCAATCCTTTAACGGAGTTCAAAAGAACTCATTCACATATACAGCACATACACACACCCACACACAGACAGCACACATACACCCACATAGACTCACCTCAGATCTGTTTCGCTGTCATTCACACCATGCGGATGCTTGTGATGACCTTTGGTAGCATTCGCCGTGGTCGCTGTCGAAGCATTTACAGCTGCTGCTGCTGCAGCCGCTGCGGCAGCTGCCACTGTTGTTGTTGTTGTTGTTGCGGCAGCGACAAACGTTGCATTCTGTGTGCCATCAGCGACAACGCTGCTGCTCCCGCTGCTGCTATTGGCGCCGCTGGCCAGCAGCTCGGTGAGCGCGCTAGTTATCCAGAGGCTGCCATCGTCAGCTGTCAGCGTGGGCAATGTTGACATAATGGTCTCCATGCTGTGTCTTTTATCGTGTCTGTTTCACTATTTATCTTGCTGGCCTTTTTGCCAAAAATTTGTGTAGTACTTTCTACGGGCAGCGGGTTGTTGCCGCAGCCACTGAAGCAGCCACTGATGCAGCCACTGATGCAGCCACTGATGCAGCCAATGATGATGTTAAATTTTGCATGTGCCACGCTGCGTATGCGTGACGCGCGTTGCTTGCTTGCCGTGGCCGTGACTTGCTGCTTTGTCTCGTCTCTCCAGCTGGACGATTCGCCTTATTTTGTCATTTGCTTAATTACTGCCACTGACGCAGCTTCAGCGCTTGCATCGCTTTTTGGCTTCCATCCGTTCTCAGTACTAAAACGAGACAAATAAAAATAACCTTTCAGCTTAAACGAGCTATTACCGAATTTTATTGACTAACTTTTCAGTCGCGTTCTTTGCCTTTAAGTGGAAATGTATTGAATGCGATTTAAGTCCGTTGTACCTTTGCCCTAAAGATTTGCTTTGGCTTCCCATTTTATTAGAGTGTAATTTAAATGAATTTGTATTCCTGAAATCAAAGCTCGCATAGTTAATAGCATGTACATATATTAAAATTTTTCCTTTGCTTTATATAATTTTCTCCAGTCTGCAGTTCGCAAGCGCCATAAATAGCGAAAGCTATTAAAAGCTGCATGAAATATAATAACATCGTTGGGTAGTTGGCACAAGGGACTCGAGGCATTGGTTGCACAAGTTAAGAGCAAAGATTTCACTAATCAAGTTAATGTGATTAGGCGCACTTGCTTCATTTCCATCAAGCAAATTTCTGGCTAAGACATTTAACTAGGTTTAGCTGTGGCATTTACATATGCTTGCAGAGACATGAAACTTAATGTGAAATCATTTGTCATTGTCTTGCTGAGCCACAAAATATCTTGTCGCCACAATCAGAATTCTGGGCATAAATAATTTAGGTTTGTAAAACAGCTGGATATGTCTATAAATTATGCTAGCATAATGCATGCATTTCATGGATATTGTTCGGGTGCAGGCGAACATCAAAATCAATTAATGCCTCAAGCCTAGACCTTGAGCTTGGCTTCGGTGGGTGGTGGGGGAACTGTGCTTCGGCTGCTTGTCGCATTGTGGGGAGAAGCCTCTTCAGGTTTCTTGGCACGTGTGTAAAACGAGGGCTGCCTCTGAGATTATGTAAATCTCTGGCTACTTAATTGCTAATTAAATAACTGAACAGCCGGACTGCAATAGTCTCCGAGATGTTCTGGCGCCGCAAGTGCTTTACAACACAAACAGCAACTCAAACAGCGAGCAGCTCTTCAAGTTGTCGTCGGGGCAACTTCTTGTAGATGCCAGCGGCAAAACTTTCCCGAGCAATTGAAAAGGGCAACAGCTGTGGAGAAATCAACAATCTAGAAGTGCAAGTAGCCGAAGGACATTCCACTTTAAAGTCATCTTCTTGCACTGCAGTTCACAACTCCAAGTAGGACTAAACATCTAATAGATGTCTTTTGCCAACAACGTGTCCCCAGCTATTACTCAGATGGTAATGTAAGCAGATTTGCACTAATTGGTCCCAGTCAATAGCCATTGCACTGGAACAGCACTCCTTGTATTTTCGCACGTTTTTGTTTGGGCCATCAAAGTGCAATTCATTTCGCACGAAACTCAAATAGCGTTAGACCCTTTGTCGCAGTTGAAAAGCGTAGCCTGTGAGCACTCGCAGCAATGCGCCAATTAATTATTGTTGTGTCACACAAGGGGTCCTACATATTCCAATTAAACGGGAATTATGCCGGTGTGGCATGTCTAGTCAATACATTTGAAATGTATATCGTTCTTGTTATCGATACTTCAAATGTATTAAATACTAAAAATCTACGTTACAATGATCGCCTTAAAGTTGGCTGCGCATAATGCTTACTGGAAGGACGCAAGCAAAACAAATATGCACGAACAACTTGAAGTTGGCTGATCATAAAAGAACAAGGCGATTATTAGACAAACCCAAACATTCATTCGGATTTATTTGCGCTCAACTGAAAATAAGGTACACGATTCAATTCAATTTAATTGAATTAATTAATTAGAGCTCTACTCATGCAATTGGTATGTTCTAAAGTAAATTATTTTAAATAGCTTTCTTGAGCTTGTCAATCGCCAACAATGCAACGATTGTTTGCAAGTGTCAGTCCACTGCATTGGTTAATACTCATCAATTACGTTAATTGGCATTGCAAACTACAACAAATGGTTTCCTTTGCTTCCAGCTGGACTGGTTGGTCTATTGAGCGTGAGTATAACATAGAAAATGCGATTCCATTGCATTTGCCTGCAACTAGATTTTCGATATGCCCGGCCACCCAATGGACCCATTCAAATGTCCATGGTAATTCAAGTCCGTGGCCCATTGTGCAGGCTCTCATGACGCTTTAAGTCTTTTTTGTGAGATAATCGCCTTGCACAAAAGCGCAGGCGATGAAGACGCAGAAGGCACGTCTGTTCAGTAATTTCTTCTCTGTAGTTTGATTCGATAAATGTGCCCGTTTATTTGACGACCTTCAGCCCTTGTACCCATGCATTTGGTGTGCTTTCAAAGTGCGACTAGAATCATATCCAGAACATGATTATTCAACCAATCAGAAACAGGAAACGCGTCTTTCCGCAGCACTTAGTTATATAAGAATATGTTAGATATACACCACTAACCGCTGTGGTGGCGGTGCTGCGGTGCCTGCATCAACAATTACGCGCCACTTGTGCTCTGCCAACAAAAAGTGCAACGAAATTAAATAAAATGACTCGGCGGAAATTACTGAGCGCACGCCTAAAAGCATGCAACAATTATTGTTATTTTTAAAGTAACATTTTCCATGTCTTTTTGGCTGTCATTTCGCATGCGTGGGTGTGTGTGTGTGTGTGCGCGCGTGTGTTCGCTTTTTCACAACGTTTTTGCCAGATTCCATGGTAATTACGTTCATAAACTGAATTTAATAGCAAAACAATATCAAATTAAACTTTCGGCAAAAAATACGTTCGACCGACCTTCTATGCTGAATTCCTGAATTATTAATTAAAATTAAAAAAATTGCTAAATTGTTAAAAAAAAAAAAATGAATAAACTGCAAAAATAAATTTAAAATTTAAACTAAGACCCAGCTTAAAGTTGAATATTCAACAATTAGCATTGGAATCTGTGGATTAGTTTTACGCGATTTATTTGATGAGCTGTCAGGTTTTGTCGACAACGTTTATATATTATGAAATGCGGACAAAATTCACGAGCTTTTGGCCGCGTTATAAGCTAACAATATTGCTATATAAAATTCTGCTTGAAAAAATACGTTGATTAACGACAGGACTTCAAAGGACTGACAGCTGCACCGGGCTGCTGTTTCACTAAATTGAAATGAATAAAAATGTTTTTAGCCAGTCAGTTTTGAATGCTCGTCCAAGAAGGGCAGAGAGTATATAGGCTATTTATGCTATTGAAGTTATAGAGCTCAGATTAGAAATAGTAGTAGTAGTAGTAGACATAGTAGTAAGATTAATAAATTGGAAAATCTTATATCTGAGCAGAGGCTTAGGATAACAGAAGCTTAAATATATATATAATTTATATTAGATCCATGCTCAAGGGTGGGTAAAAGTGAGATTTTCCAAATCTGTTTCAGCTGTTTTTAGACTATGAACAAGTATTATGCAGTCAATTGTGCCCCACTGCAACACTGACGCTTGATAAATAAGACTTAAACAAAACTGCAAACATTTATGACAGAGCTAAATATAATATAGGTGTGGAAATGATTTATAAAGACAGCATTTGCGCTTTAAATTGAATTTACTCTGCTAGGAAAGGAAAAAGCGTGAAGATATGCCTGTGTGTGTGTGTGTGTGTGTGTGTGTCTGTAATAGAAAGACTTTTGTGCATCTGTGTGGGCGTGTGTTAGGTGAGTTATGTCGAGCTAAGCCTCAACTATGGTTGGGCGCATGTAAAATGCCACGATTTCACTGTACTACAGTCGTAACCCTCTCATCTCTAAACTTGGTATTGATTTATGCTCGCGCTCATTTCTCATTTTTACCATTTTTCACTTATGTGCGGCAAATTTTTGCAGTCATCAGCGACAGCAGCTGCCGCTGGGCCAGACGAGCTGCCAAGTCTGAAATGCAATGCTTTTGTTGTTGTTGTTGTAGTTGTTTGTAGTTCCATTTTTTTTATTTTTTTTTTATTTTTTTGCAGTCCACTTAACGTGTGGCTCAAGGCCAAAGTATAGATATTGTATGCACCGCCCATCAACAGGCACTCCAAGCGCTAAATGCACTACATAGCCAGATTTAATGTTGGCCGTTGGCTGAGCTTTAACATAACTAACCGTAAGCTCGTATGAATGTTTTACAATTGCCAATGGGCTCACATGTCGCAGCTTGAGTGTGTGCTCCAAGCTCTGCACAAGTGCGCCCCAGACAGTGTTCCAGCGTGCATCCTTGAAGGCCGTGCCGGCCGGCCACTTAATGCAGTTGACAAGGACTTGTTTACAAGAACTTGATAAATGTTACAAAGCTCAACGTGCAACGTTCAGCGTACAACGTACAATGTCCAACATGCAACATCCAACGTCCACTCAGGTGTGTCAGACACACAAAAGAGTCCGAAGAGTCCGTAGAGTCCTCTATTCTCATTAGCTTTTGGCTTTGGCCTTTTGCATACTCCGAATGCACTCGCAGTCAACATTTCAATTGATTCAGTTTCATAATGTTTGTTGCTTGAAACAGGAATACATGAAAGTTCGCATGATTTGGCAATGATGTGCAACTAAAAGTCAAGCATGAGCCCGAATGAGCCCGAATGTCGCCTGAATGTTGCCTGATTGGCAAGCAACTAGCTATGATTTCGTCCGTTATCTCAATCAAACTCTCAATCAGCAAAATGCCCTTTCGCTCGACTAACTAAATTGCTATTCATATATGTATGCCATTTTTATATGTTTAATGCATGATATTTTGTAGCTGGAAACGCTACAAGCTGGACAAAAATTGTGTAACCTTTCTTTTGGAAATAAATTAAATATTTTTCACAGCACTTGACCAATTTGTAGCGTCGAGAAACTTGTGAAATATAAGTACGCTGTGGCTTATCTTTTGGGCAAAGTTTTGCGACAAGTTTTTCTTCTGGTTCGCATTATTATTTATGGTTTCTCTTGTGTCCAGTGGCGAATTTTTGTTCTGAAACTATTTACCTCTGTCAGCAGCAATTCTCGTTCGAATTTCCTCGTGTAATTTTCGCCCTTTGGCGCACAGAAAAGTTTATTTTTTTTTATTTTTTATTGATGTCTTGTAAAAGTTGGCGCCAATTGAACTCAGGAAATATATTTGATATTGTAAGTTGGTGCAAAGTGCTTTAAGCTGATGTCATGAAATATTTGCTTTGATGCGACAGCAATTTCGGCTTGCTTGCACAGGTGACGCGGCGTATACGCAATCTTAATTAAAAACCGCGCAAATAACTCAAAAGCAGCGCACACACAGGATCATAATTGATATCTGTTCGTTCGTTCGGTTCGATTAAGGCGCCAAAATGTGGACTTACTTCTGGCTGTTGCTGCTGCTGCTGCTGCTGCTGCTGCTGCTGGCAACGGACAGTAACAGCCAGTGGTGAGGCTCGCGTTCGACTGAGGCACAGGACACAGCTGCCAGCATTTTTATCAATGAAAATTGTTGCTCAGCGTAAGCTGCTGTGCAGACGACTGCAAAGAGAGAGAGAGAGAGAGAGATAGGGAGAGAGAGAGAGGGAGAGAGAGCGAGAGAGCAAGCGAACGAGCGAGGCTGGCTGCTGTGCTCTCTGTGAGCGCTCTTAAATCGCCACCAACGAAACCTGATAAGGACACCGTTTTGTTGTCAGCATGTGCCGCAGATAACCTGCCCAAATGCGGCTTAAATGTGACAGCCTGCCAAACTCAATTACTTAGCGTATGACAAGAATATGACAGTTCGATGAGGAAGTAACTTTAATACGAAAGACTCTGGCAAGACTTTGTTGCTCCGTGAGCAGGTGCACAACAATTCTACAAACACTTGAATCAGTTTCTAGCCCAACTAGAGCTACCGATACAGCTACAGCTATTGCTAAGGCTGGCAATTAAATTGTCTCTACTGACGATTCTTTCGTAAGCGGAACAACAACAACTGCCAGGCCTTGACTTGTGACCCACTCGCTGTTGTTATTGGCCGGATTATACTCATATGTTGGTAAATCAGGACATAGTTACTCGTATTTCATTTACAGTTTATGGCCGGTACGTGTGCGTGTGTGCGTGTCATCTGGCAGCCGCAATCCTTTGGTTAGCGTCGGCTCGCCTGGCAACCAGCCGACATTTCCAATTGGAATTTTACATTTGAATGAATATTACGCGCACACATAATATTTAAAACTTCCCCTTTGATTATATTCGGTATAATTTATTGACGCAATTAACAATAACACGACCATACGAGTTAAGCTCAAATACGAATCTGTTTGCTGTTTGCCGTTTGCTCCATCAATGCAATCTCTGTCAATTGAGCAAAGCGCACCGCAATTATTGGCTGCTGCAACTTTAATTAACAGTCAATGGAACTCTGCACTGACTGACTATGAGTTACCCATCAAGTGACTAGACAGATAAATATTGATAATGCTCTAATACATGTCCTATATATACAGTAAGCTGTCCGCCATATGTTCATCATCTTATCTTCACATGCTCCCTCTTCAAATCCCTGCTTCTTACACTGGGTATCTCGTCATATGTCAATAGCTCAGGCTTAAGACAATTGTTGTCGCTCTGGCTTTTAAGCTGCTCTGCGCGTGTAATCAAAGCAAAGTGTGGGCAACAACATGAGGAGCTTTGCACAGTTAATCTGCCGCCGTATAAACGCGACGCGGCTGCTCAACAAGTCACAAAATTAAAAGTGAAACGCACATTTGATATACATAGTATGTTTACAAACACATATATACATATATGTTTACAAGTAGAAATACAAAAACATATACATATACGTTGTGTGTACGTTGCTTACTATTATCTGAGTTAGACTCAAAGACTTTTAGAAAGCACTTACACTTCGCCCTGCCATTGCCATTAACCGCACAAAGTAATTAGTGTCAGCAACAATCTAAAAAGCTGAGAACGAAAGTCTCCGCGGACTTCGTTTACAATGTGGTAGATAAGTGAAAGTGCTTGGCTAGCAGCATTTCAGAAACCTAGACATCAACTTTTCATTTTTTGGCTGGCATCAACTTCTCATTTTTCAACTACATTTTTTGTATTTGATAGCTTAATATTTCTTTAATAATTATAGCCTGAAGAATGTCCTGGTGCAGCAACACATGTGACTTTTCTCAGCTATATTTGAAAGCATTTTGGGTTCACGACAAATTGGTGCGCCTAAAAGTATGCAGCGAAAATTTCCATATGGTAAATTCTTTTCAACTTTTACCAAATTCAGTGGAATTTGATGAAAAATTTAGCAAATCAATGAACTTGTTTTTCCATAGGAAGGCTCAACAAACTAGAAATATTTGTATAAATAAAGAAAGGGTTGGCTTTTTTATACAATCCCCTGTCCCGTAACAACACCGAAATATTTCTGCGAGCTTTCAGCGTAATTGTGGCGACCAGCAAGACGCATTAACTTTTGTAGCTGGATTTATTCTTGGAGTTCTGGTCAAAATTGCATTGCATACTATTAGATGTAGTTGTTGGGGAGGACTGGCGGTAGTTGATTTTCGAAACAACTGAAAAGAAAATGGAATATATGTACATATATTGCATTGTGAAATACAAACGCTTTGTTTTTAAACACTTAAATTGTAAAAAAATGCTAAAAATGGGTCAGCCAGAAAACAGTTTGGACGAAATATAAAATCAGCTCGAGCTTGATTTAACTTTGAAGATATTGAATGTTGCTTGAGCTCTATTTGAATATATATTTTAATAAAATGTATCTATTAATTTTAATCTTTTTAATAAATTAGACTAAAACAAAAAGTTTATTATTTTTGCCTATGAAGGTATGTTTAAATTTTTATGATTGCAGTGATTCATGCCGAAAGTGTTGAACAAATTATATCATATTCACATATAGTTTTTTGGAATACCTCGTAATAAATGAAAAATAAAAAAACAAAAAGTTTTTACATTTCAAGTTTTAGCCGTTGAGTTGAAGTCTTGAATGTGTATTACTTGCTAAGATATGTGGATGTGTGCGTATACTATGCCCCTATAGATACACATATGACAAACAATTATGCGTTTGTTTTGGAGTTGACATTCACACCAACTAGGCACGTAGATCTTACTAAACAGTTATGTAAACAGCAGACTTTACTGCCAAAAAGTGAAATGACAAAAGAAAAAACACAAAATAAAATTTCCATTGTCAAAAAGTCCAATAGTTTGATGAGTCAGTCGCTTAATCGACGATGCATCTTTAGTTCAATTCAATAAATATGAAATTCCCCGGAAAGCTGTTGCCCTTCTGAATCATTGTGAAGCTTTTAATGAGAATGCATATTGATTGACGCCATATCAGAGCCAAATTCACTCGAATAATGAATTTTTTATAATCAAACTGTACCGTCGGGGGGCTGAGGCTTACGATAATGCAAACAAGCTGTTAAATACTAGCGAAAAACGGCTGTAATTTAATGCAAGCGCCATTGAGACCATAAAATGTGGCTAGAGTCTGCTGGGAGTGGGGCGAGCTGTCAATTGAAATTTCATTTCTCATTTCACTCGACAATTTGGTGTGCAAGATAAACGCAATGCAATCAACGTAAGTAACACAAAAATTTTAATGATTATTGCTAGAGATAAGAGCTCATGTTTCCATCAGATTATATGCACCTGTTTTGTTAGATCAGCTCTCATAGATAAATTTGCATTTTCACTGCTCAATTGCTCCAATTGCACCTATCATAACTCTGTTAGCATGCAAAACTCCAATAGACTAACAGTCATAAACTTTCGCAGTGAGTTGTTAATATAAGAGCTTTAACATTTGAAGACTCTAGATTAACAGTCATTAACTTTCGCTGAGATTCGCTTAGCTTAACAGCAGCGATCTCAGCATAGCTCTGTTATTATGGGAGTTTCACATGTATGTGTCATAATCCAGCACATTGCATGGCTGAGATTAACAGTTGAATATTTATAATTTCTCTGTTAATATTATTAACCTCGTAACGTAAGCATAGCAGCACTCTAACGAACGTTAACAGACTAGCAGTCAGCCAATCAGATCTCACTCTTAACATGTTTGAAATTAATTAAATACTCGATGAGTCACAAGAGCGTAAAATACAGAAATATACATATTTTTAAAGCTATAAACCATTCTACCATACGATGCATATGTAGGGTAAAGAACACGATTTTAGAAAGTAGTAAAGCTTATGAAATTATTAATACATTGAAGTTGATTACTACTAGATCTTGAGGTTCGTGGCATCTAAGAGAACTTGATCTGTTGCTTCTTAAGCAACCTTGGAAAAGTTAATGTCCATGATATGTGTTTGCTCTGACGTCATCAGTAAGATTCGCATTTCCGACTGGGCAGCTGGAATATAAATTAAGCTTTATTCAAGCATGCATTGATTTGCACAAAAATATTAAGTAAAATTGTAAAAAAGATAATACAAAAATCAATGAGAGTTCTTTATTGAAAGTCCCTATTGACAAAACCCTTTATATAGCACCTTCTGTTGACTTACCATTGGAAAAGTTGTTCTCCGCTTTATCGCATGGACGTCATCGCGCCGGGCCACCGTTGAAAATGTTTTGAATCAATATTAGCGAGGGCCGATTTAAGTTTCAATTCGACTCGAATCGCAGCGCACTGAGTAAAAAAAAACAACATAATAACAACAACAACGACAACCGGCGTCAACTGCCTTTAGACAAGTTGATATAAGTTTCGGCGACAAGCGGGCCCTAACCGCAGTTGTGCGACCGCATTTGGCGGGTGAACAGCGCTTGACAGACTGACAAATTGGCCGGCTGACTAATTGACAGAGAGTGCGCCAACAGACAGTGGTCGAGTCTTGAGGGCTTCACCTATTCAGCTCCAGTGCGGAAACAATCATAATAAATCAGACCGAAATGTGGAGTCAACTACAAAGTGTTCTGTGGCCTTTGATCTTGACCTTTGGTGAGTTAAGCAATTGTATAAATTGTGTAAAAATGCCAAGTGCTGAGATGTTCCGGTGTTGAAACAATTATTTAATTGTTGTTAAATAGAAAGCTAACTAAACGCAGCAGACAGCAGACTTTTATTAATTGGCAAATATTTAAGCACTATTTAGAGTGGCTTTGTAATTTTAAATCGGTTCAGTGTCTGTGTGTGTGTTGCAGTAAATAATACAAAGATTGTTTTAAATAAAACACATTAGCAGACCTTTCTGTAGAATATTTACCGAGTTAGATATATGCCCATGTCAAGGACATAGAGCAAGTTCAAAAACTGGTTCAAATTATCTCTTTGTGGCAATCAACAAATATAATAAGCCAGCAGAAGAATACGACAATTTCATGTAGTCGACTGCATGATACTCGCTTGCACTACACAGATAGCAAAATTGATATTATTGAATTAATACATGTAAATAAGATCAACATCGATTCAGGTTTAAAACTTGCAAAAAAGTTAAATAGCGCGGATTATGAAAATAGTAATTATAGGGCTACACTTGCTATATGGTTTTAATCGAGCTGTAGAGGGGGTAAACTTTAAGTGACTTGGAAAATTAAAAAAAATTAAAAATTTTATAAAAATATATATTAAACGCTAACAAAGTCCACATCGCGTTTATTAGTTCCAGTTCGATCTAGTATAGACTAGCTTAAGAACAAGCCGTATGCAATTGATTCGCTTAGGGTATGAAGTTACGAAACGAGTCTAACATATCAATTTTCCAATTTGCTAAGACGCAGATACAGAAAAAAATGTAATACCAATCGCAAGTCTCCAGTCTTATTTATTTCGCATTTGCCACGCCAACTGCTCGCATATTAAAATAATCTTAGCACTGAACACCGAAATTCATGCCAATTTTCCAGAGTCTAACTGCAGAACAAAAGGCTTTAAATAGCTCTAATATACTCCCTCTTTAATTGCATAAGCGAGTGTGTGGAATGAAAACAAAAACAAGAACACGTTTCTGCCGTGTCCGTGCCATCAATTTTTTGAAAAGCAGACAATCGCATAAATCTAATCTGCAATTAAGCTTACCTGCGTTTCTTTGGATGGCTCAACAAACAGCGAGCAGGTGACGTGTCCGCGGACAATTCATACCCTGGACAAAAGCCGGAAGTGCGAACCGAATCATGAAACGAGAGTATTTGTTAGTCAGACAATGGCCGAGAATTTAAAGTAGTTATCCAATTACAGAAATAGAATGGAAATGAATGCAACAATTACTTGAACACACAGACATTAGGCAACGTATTTTCGCTTTTATTTTATTTGTTTTTTTTTTTTTTTTTGGGTTTTGTTTTTTGCGTGTTAAGTTTGAAATTGGAAAATTCGACTTGGCTAATTATCTGTTTTCACAAGTGGTACGCATTTTGTTTATGGCCAATAATAATAAACATTTTCAGCGCTCGCTTCGAATTCCAATAAAAACTATAAATCAACAAATATAACCTGAGCTGTCGGCCATTAGAAGGCAGCAACAACAACAACAACAACAAAAATGAAACAAGTCTCACCGAACGAACATTTAGAACAGACAACTAAATCGTTTGTTGTTGTTGTCAAACAAATCCACAAACCTTTCCGTTATTGCGGTTCAGGGAAGTGCACTTCATTCGAATAATAGGAAATAGCCTATAATAGCTGACGCGATAATTGTTACCTAATCACTGCTAATTGATGCAACAATTTGCCATGACACATGTTACACGATGTACCTGCCTATGGTCGTCAAATGGCTCATTTTCTTGAAATAAAACTTAAGTACACTAAGCAGCAAAGTTTGTGTATAGAATTTTAATTTGCTGTTAGGCTGGATTATTTTACATGATATGCCGAGTTGATGCTAAATCACGTTTCGTTCAGAAATCTTGATTAGAAAGAGGTAATTCATGTTAGAATTCGTCTCAGAACTGTTTATATGTGATTTGTTCAAGAAGCACCGCGACTTTTGACTTTAATGGGGATATAGAGAGTAGCTATACATTCCGTAATAAAGAAAATTCTGAAAAAAATGGCGCTTAAATTTTAAAATTTTGTTTCTGAATTTAGAGTACTAAAAAACACAGAAAATGAGGAATATATACATACACAATTATATATACTCTTAAGCTGAAAAAGGAATAATATATAAAACTATATTATATAAGATCTACAAACTGCATCAGCCAAAGTCAGCTCATGATCTATTTGTAGACACATAATATATTATATGATTATCATGTCATAATCAAATATCAATAGTAAATATATATTAAATTATACATTCTTATATTATTGTATATTAAACATACATCTCAATTATAGCTTTTATCCATTATACAGCATCATCTCATTGATAATTTAAGTATATACAATATATATACTTATATGTAATATATAGGAATCTGAATATATCAGAAATCACATAACAACCACATATAAATACTATATTATATAGTCATATACTATATGAGCTATAACTCATGTTTAATGTATTCCCAAGACAAATTTGATTCGCAATCACGCTGTACAGTGTATACCTGCCCAATTAGGGCAACAGTCGGCAAATTCAAAAGATAAATAATAAAAGTTTAATTTATTTGAACGTTCAATTGGGGTTAATCGTAGGGCTATTTTTAACTCCCACTGAACTGCCCAAAAATAGTATCGAAAGTAATCAAATATTTGTCAATTTGTCGCCGATGTCACCGTGATCAAACGACGTCGACGTCTCCGCTTGTTCAGGCAATTAGCAAGTCCACAGACTCTAAACGCGTCTCAATTATTACAGCCGCCGTGACGTTGGCTCAAGATTTCGGCTATGGCGGGAAGCATGGACCGGAGCATTGGGGCGACGACTATAAGAAGTGCAGCGGCAAGTTCCAAAGTCCCATAAATATTAATGTGCTGAATGTGAAGTACAAGACGTATATGCCATTCACCTACGAGAATTTCGATGCTACGCCCAAGCGCGTCCACTTGACCAACAATGGACACACGGTGCTCGTCACCATGGACTTTGACAAGAACAAGATGCCGCGCGTGAAGGGCGGCCCATTGGAGCGCAAGACGTTCTATCAGTTCGAACAGTTCCATTTCCATTGGGGCGAGAACGACACGGTGGGCAGCGAGGATCTGATTGACAATCACGCCTACCCCGCCGAGCTGCATGTGGTCATGCGCAGCCTGGACTACCCGGACTTTCAGAGTGCTCTCAACAAGGATCATGGCCTAACGGTGTTTGCATTTTTCTTTACGGTAAATGGGAAATTAGCAACAAGTTTGCTCTATAATGGAAATTACAAAAATTAATGTTTAACAGATAATGGCTGAAGACAATCCCAATTATGCGGAATTTGCTGAGATGCTCGGCTCGATAGATCGCAAGGGCAAGTCTGTGGACCTGCCGAATCCCTTGCCGTTGCAGAAGTTTTTGGGCACGAATCTGGAAGGCTATTACACCTACAAAGGGTCGCTGACAACGCCGCCCTGTGCCGAGGAGGTGGTTTGGGTAGATTTCAGCGAACCCATAGCTATATCGGAATATCAGGTTGGACTCCATACATACATATATTTTAGTATATTCTATTTATATATATATCCCCTTACAGCTGAGCCACTTTCGTCTGCTCACCGCCAACGATGATCATTTGAAGAACAATTTCCGACCCACCCAACCGCTCAATGATCGCATCGTTTACCGCAATCAGCCCTCCGAAGACGATCTATTCATGCCCTGGAGCTCGATACCTTTCGTGGATGCGGACAATGCGGCTGGCTGCCTGCCGTACAGTGTAGTCGGTGCAATTTCTGCTGGCATCGGCTGCCTGTTGTTTGGCTTGTCAAGGACTCTGTTTTAGTGGCTTTTAATTAGAGCCGCGTGGCGCGTGGCGGGGGACCGGCCTGAACTGGTCTGGGCTGGTTTGGGATTGGGGTTTGGGTTGGGGTTGGGTTGTGTGGCCATTATCCCGTGCAAACGTTTTGTATTAAATCGCATCGCACTCGCATGCTCAACATTTTAATTAAGCCCCGTAATTTAGCTCTACCTCGACGCTGCTTTGTGTGCCGACAATTTAAATATTTGGGCCGAGAATGAACCAAGGATGAACTGGGAACTTGACCTAATACGCTAAGCACATGTCGAAAATTAATAAGCGCACATGCCACAGCCACGCCCACGTGCCCATTTAAGTATGAGTAACAAAAAAAAAGAGAAAAAAACACAAAACAAATGCTTTAAGTATCAAGAGTTAACACAGTAGGTTGATTCAACATTTATGCAGCGCACATGGCGACGCTTCTGTTTATTTGATTGATTATTCATGAATACACTCAAATTCGCTCACACTCACATGCCGTATTTGATTGTTTTGTGTGCATTTGTAATCATAAGTTATTTATGCTCTTTCATTCAATTTTCATGCCTTGATTCGATATTATAATGCCACTGCACCTTGTGATTTACGAGCTAATGCTCGCTATAAGTAATATCTATATTTATATATGTACTAAATTGAAATACGTGTTTATCAGTAAATAAATAAATGAAACCAAATCCACAACAGCTCAAATTGTTTGTTATCTGTTGTCATCGGAGCTTTGTAAATTATCTATTTCTGATTTTTTAATTAGATAATTTCAGTTAAGCCTAAGATTTAGATAAGTTCCATCCATATACGTCTGCCTGTCTACAAGCAAGGCCGACCTTACATAAGCAGTGGAGTATAATGACTTTCCGTTAGGGTAGCCAGAGTTATCAAAAGACCTTGTTGCTTAAACCAAAAAAAGAAAAAGTATTCCATCAAGAGCTCAGCATTGCATGATTGATTTAAGTACAAACGCAAGGTTCAATGATTGATGAATACGGCGAGTAAATAATATGAAAAGTAATACCTGAACAATAATTTTGATTGAGGTATCTTAATAAAGTTTAATTCATACACAGAGCTAGGTCCAAGGAAAAGGGTCCGACTAGGAGTTACCCACACTCCAACTTTTAGAGAATAAAATAAAATAATGAATTTAATTATAAGTTATTTGAAAGCATTAATAAAATAAACGTTGCTTGGATTTGTAACTAATGTAACTAATTTTATTTTGCTTTACTTAGTTTTTACAGGTTTTTTGTTTTTCAATAATTTATTTTTTTTTATCATTATCATCGAATTGTTTTGTGTGAAATATATATATATACTTAGCATATGCATATATAGCTGCATTTCTTGTTTCTTAATTCATTTATTTTGTATATGTATATATAAATATGTACGCCTGGATTTTTTACTTTACAATCTTAAAAGTTAAACTGCGCCAAATGATGTGGCCCATATTTATTTTGTTTGTGTGCTTGGTTTTCAGCTTTTGTTTGTTTTTCTGTTTTTATTAAATATGCTCGCAAAACTCTACAATAAACGCTGTATATATGTATATTTATATTTATATATATATAATGTGTATATTCAAAATGTGAAATAAAAAATTGTATTTAAAAATATGTAATTTGTTTATAGTATTATGCACGCATTAATATTACATTTGTTTAGTGTTTTTTATTTTCATTTTGTGTTTCGCGTTGGTCTTAAATTTAATATAAATCCTTTCGTTTTTCTTTGTTAATGAAATATAGATTTATTTATTTGTTTGAATGCATGCTGCTCATACAATTAATATATATATATTGTGTATAAATTACTAATATAAATTAAGCACTCAAAATATTGCAGCTGCTACAAACGTTCATGCAAATACATACATATGTCATATATATATATGTATACAGTGCATGAATTGCATTTGGGGGCTTTAAGAAATTTTTGAAAACTCACACATTTGAAATTTTTACTTATTAGCTAGGTATTTTTGTTGTTTTTTTTTTCTCTCTTTTTTTTATGAAACTTTATACAAAACACGATTTTGTTGCTTTTACTTATTTGTTTCTGTTTTTTGCTTGTTTTTCTCATTTTTTCTGATAATATAATACTAGAGTTAAGCCAAACAAAATAATAAATTAATGAGTAGTAAGAAAGCCAAGCTAGCCAAAACATATAAAAGGATTACTATATAAATCAAAACTAAGCAGCAATAAGCGCACTAACACTACGAAATACATATAGTTCAATTGTGGCTGGAAGTACATTAAGTTTAAATTACATATACAATTCTCAGCGTATGAGATGTCAAAGTAGTTGCAGTTGCAGTTGCAGTTCTCTAGAAAGCCCTTTGTACAATACATTCTTTACATATATATAAATACATACACATATACATATATATATCTATAGACTGTGCTTGATCGGCAACAAAGTGCACTTGGCATATCTGCCAATCTCTTGGGCTCGACTTTTACCATTCAATTCAAATCACGTCCCGAATATACATATACATATACATACTATATATATATATATATATATACTAAAATTGCAAGTTGTCGTTTGTTGTTGTATTTTGGTTTTGCTCTGTTTGTTTTTAGCTAGTTGCAAAAGTCTAATTAATTTGATTTGAAATAGAGCTTAGTGTTTAGTCATAGGGTATTATCAAAGTGCTGCTATATTCTGCAAAAATGTTTTGTTGCACATTCCGCAGTTGAAAACCTTAAAAATTTGTGTGCTAAGTTTGTTCCATTTGCCTTAATCAATTCTCGTAAGCTTAAACGATAATTAACACGCTTCCCTATCTCTCTCTATCAAATTTTTGTTTAGAATTCTTTTAACACTATACACTATAAAGACGATACTTATAAAATATTGCGACCATCATGTTTTCTTTGCTTGTTTCGTCAGTTGGTTTCATTTGATTTCTAATTTGCGATTCCCTCTTTTTTCATAAGTGGATCGTCTCAGCTGCCCAGTTGGAGAACACTTAACGTAGTTGATTTCTGTAGATCGAAGGAAACACAAATTAGAATATAGTCAAGATAGGGAATGCAGTGTATACAGATGATATATGTGGTTATGCATGGATATGATAAATTAAAACGTTTACTAACTTTTTACATAAAAACTGGACAAAACGTTGCACAACTTAAAGTTGCTAGTTATATATATATATATATATAGCTTGGAAACACGATATACATATTTGTTAATATATATATATATAAAGGGACCGTTGCTATAGCTATATAAAAATATGAATGCTGATCTTTTTCATTTGCTGATGTTGGTTATAGTTGTTGCTGCTGTTGTTGAAAAGCAAAATGTAAACGTTTGAACACAAAAATCACACAAAGCATTTTCCTCACAGCCGGCCGGGCTGTGAGTATTTTCTTTGTTCAGTTGCTTTTGGGATTCTGCCTTCTGCCTGGCTGGTCCACTTATCTGGGCCGTTGTCTGTTTTGGGATAGAAATAGAGAGGTGGGCGTGATACAGAGACAAAATATATGTATATACAAACACAAAATGTTAACGAACACAATAAATATTTAACACAAAAACAATAAGCAAAAGTCATAAAGTCACACAAATACAGATGAACATATGAGCCGAATGATTGACTGTTGATGACTGTTGTTGTTGTTGTTGTTGTAGGTAACTTAGGCCTAATGGATGTTGCAGTGGTACTCACCTAAAGTATTGATCGTGCAGCGATTGCCGTTGAAACTCGGCGGCCTGTAAATACTGTATATATGTAATTAATCAGTTAGGAATATTAAAATGGGATTGGGGAAACCTGTAGTTGATCTGCATAGGACATCCTCAGCAAAACGTCCGAGTGCGGCTCCCTAGGTATAAGCATATTTGGACGCGGATATTGCCCAACATTCGCTACGTGCAGAGAAAGCGAGGAGAGAGAGAACAGAGAAAGAGAGAAAATTGAGTTTCGTTTATGATTTGATCAACGTAACGGATATACAAACTCACGTGGCAGTTGGAAACCGGCCTCCGGTGGTTGCGGCTGTGGATGCAAAGGCAAATGTAAATGAGTATGAGAGTGTGCATGATATTCTCTCGTCAATCGTATCTGAAAATTATTGAATATCGTTGATAGTTTCAAAAGAGCCAGGTGTGCTGCCTGAGAGATAAATGGAGAGCCTGCTTGCAATATAGATGCGACATTTGGTAAGTGGGAAGAGCGGGAGTATGCGAAATGTGAAATTGTGGATAATGCGTGTTAGCACCGGCTGAATGACAAACAAATGTGGTTAGAGAGTGGAGGAGAAGAGCCATTGACGGATCTCTCTCCTCCAGGTGAGGCGCACGACAAATTCGAATACAAAGTGGGTTAGCACACGTGCTTGGACATGGACATGGACACATGATGTACCTAAATTTATATCATTATTATAATTATTATTGATTAATTCAATTCTTGGTTAATTGAGCTGACAAGTGGACAAGTGGACACAAGTGATTGATGCGATAGATGTTTTCTGAATTCATTTTGTTTAAAAAGTGTTTTGCTTTTGTTTTTTTTTTTTTGTTTTTGTTTTTTCCAAATACGATTGATTTTGTGAATATGAGTGGATTTTGAGTTTCAAGTTTGGTTTACAAGATGAGAGATGGCCATGCAATTCATACGCACCATATGCTCGCCCGGATCCATGCCGACATGATGAGGAGGCGGTATGCCCAGACGTTCGCGTTCCATTTGCGATATAGCCGGATTCGCATATAGCGGAAACTGTGAGGGATGTATGCCACTGTAAGAAAAAGAAGTGAGTGAGTTAGAATTTCTCGAGAGGATCATGCGAATAGCTAGCCTTACCGCCTATAGTATTCCATCCAATGCGGATCCAGTCGCGATTGACTTGCGGCCGCCGCTTGCGCGTTCTTAATCTCCTCCAATTCTCTGTAATTAGTCAAGGTTGGAAGCATGAGTAATTGCCTACAATTTGGAGAAGCAGAAAGGGGTTTAATATCTTGTCGAGGATTTTGGTTAAGGTCAGGCAAATGATAAATGGCAAATGGAAAATAAGCAGCAAATGGATTAGAAACTAATGCATCAATTTGGACGTGCGTTTGAATAAGCGTCAATTGTATAGGTTAGCAAATGGAAGGATCGCAATTATCAATGAGAATATGAGTATGTGTGTGTGTGTGTGGGGTGATGGATGATGGTGTGTGCTCTGAGATGAGGATTTTGGCAGGCTTGTACTAGGTACTGTACCTCTCTCTGCTATACATGGGGCTCATTGGATGATGATAAGGCACCATCTGCTCAACAGGACTGAAATCGAAATGGAAATTATTACAATACAAACGCGATAATCAACGACTACAAATAATCAGACTACATTAACAATTATAATAATAGACAATCAATCAACAACTAAAAGAAGACTCAATAATTAATGAAATACTCTGGCAGGCATTCGACGCTCACCTGAAGGCGACATGTGGACGCGCATACTCCGACAATTGACGCAGCGCTGGTGTATCCGCATATGGAGGCTTTAGCTCCGCCTTCATCTTGGCCTGCTGGGCGGCTTGTTGTGCGGCGGCTGCTTGTTGCTGTTGTTGTTGCTGTTGCTGCTGCTGTTGTTGCTATTGGGGGAATAAGAGGGAGATCGCATTATATTGATTGTCATGCCTTAAAATCAATTCCCGTTGCTCACCTGTCTTCGCTCACGCTCCTTCTCAGCCAGTTTGCGATCGCGTTCCTCGCGCTTGCGCGCCAGCTTGGAGTCCGTAACCGGCTTGAAGATCAGATCCGTGCGCGTGCACGAATTGTAATCGCCGCGATCGATGTGACGCACAAAGCTGCAAGAGTAACGTTTTCAATTAATAATTCACAGCTCTCTCTCTCTCTCTCTCTCTCTCTCTTTAGGTACTCACATTGCCGATTGCGAGCGATGGCATTCGGTATCATCCGGCTTCGCCTCGGGACTGGGTCCGCGCGGTATGTTGTGCGTGGGGCTGGGTATCTCGGGCTCTGGATCGGGCTCAATGTCAATGGGCACTAAAACAAAGAATACAATATTAAAGACAGGCTCCCCATTTCCTGTTAAGCTGCCAACACTCACATGGCTCGGTCGGATGATGGGCACTGCCCAGGCCCGCAGAATTGGCTGAGTGCGCGTGCGCACGCAACGCGTCCATGTGGGAGGTCGGCTTCATGCCGTGCGGTTGTCCATCTTGCGGCGCAAACGGCGAGGCATGCGGCGGCGGCGGATAGCCGGGTATGTGAGAGCCCGGATAGGCGCCGGGCGGCAGACCCGTGGGCGTGCCGGGACCACCTAGGCCAACGCCCACACCCACACCCACACCACCTGGTCCCTGCGGCGTCTTTGGCGTCGGTGGTTTATTCTGTGGCGGACCACCAGGTTGTTGTTGTTGCTGCTGTTGCTGTTGTTGTTGCTGCTGTTGTTGTTGCTGTTGCTGCTGCTGCTGTTGTTGCTGCTGCTGTTGTTGTTGCTGCTGCTGAGGCGTCTTGTGTTGCTGCTGTTGTTGTTGAGCCGCAGCCACAGCCGCCGCGTGCTGTTTCTCGGCGGCCACAGCTGCCGCAGCTGCTGCATTCTGTTCATCCTGGCGCGACGGCGGCGGCGGACCCGATAGCCCAGCATGATGGGCGGCCATCACGGCGGCGGGATCCAGTGGGCCGGATGGTGGCGGTGGCTTCATGTAGGCGGGGAAGCCAGGTCCGTACGGCGCATAGCCATAGGGCGAGTTAAAGGGATTGTGATGATGCGGCGAGTAGAAGACCGAGGGATGCAGTAACGGATGCGGATACGGCGACTGGCCAGGATGCACACCAATCTGCGGAATGCCGCCGCCTGGCGCAATCAGCGGCAATGGCAACGGCATTTGTGGATGCCGTATGACCGGCGGCGAGGCACCCGGTCGCAAATGCGGCGGCGGCGATGTGCCCAAGCCTCGTTGACCCGGCTGTGGTGCGTACATCTTGCTCAGCGGACTGGCCATCAGGCCCGAGGCGCTCGACACTGGCGGCGGCGTCATGTGCGGCGACTGCTGACGCAGCAGCGCATGCCGATCCCGTTCGGCAACAGCGGCCGCTGCGGCGGACAGCGCCGACGACGACGGATGATGGCTCAGCGGCGACTGCGGCACCGGATGCAGCGGACTCTGCCGACTCAGGCTGCCCACACTGGAGGCGGGCGAGGCGGCGCGATGTGCGGCTGCGGCCGCAGCGGCGGCAGCTGACGACGAGTTGTTCGGCGTGCCGCTGTTGCTGTTGCCACCAGGGCCACCAGCTGGCGGGGCACCGCTCGAGAGTTGTACGCTGGGACTGGCGCGACTGAAGGCGGACGAGGGCACCGTGTTGGGAGTGGTGGTAAGCGACATGCTCGTCGAGATGGCCACCGAGTGTGGCGTCGATGGCCCTGATGAGGAGTGCGGATGCGACAGATGGCTGGGCGGCGTGCGTCGGCTGAGCGCCGACTCGGGCAGGCCACCCAGTCCGCCGGGACCGGCCAGTAGAGCGATGGGACCGCCGCCGTGGCTCAGTCCTGCTATTGAATGCGACAGCAGATGATGGCCTGGATGCGCCAGAGCTGCGTGTGCCGGATGACCAGGTGGCAGGTGCGCCAAGTGCGGATGTATGGGCATAGGATGGCCAATGAGTCCCGATGGATGCGCCAAGCCCGGCAGCGGGGATGTGCGATGCGCATGCGGTGACTGATGTGTCATCGGCCCTGGTCCTGGCCCCTGCCCCGGCCCCTGTCCTGGACCCGGGCCCGAGTTGATGCTGCTCATCGAGCCCGTTGGCGCCGTCGAGGTGTGCGAGGCGGGCGGCTCCCGTGACGTGGGCAGCGGTTCGTGCATGCTGCGCGGCGGCTGCTGCTGCTGCGCCGGCGATGGCGTACGCACTGTGCCCGCCGGGCTCGGACCCGGCTGTTGTTGCTGCTGCTGCTGCTGTTGGTGGCTGGGGCCCAGCGGATGCGCGTGGCTGTGCGGCGGCGGTGGACCCGGTGCCTGTAGTGACATGGCCATGGGCGCATGTGGATGCATGGCCGCGCCCAGATCGGGATGCCGGTGAAGCGCTTGCAAGGATTGCAGGTGCGCATGTTGGTGCGGATGCATGTGCGGGTGCATGGGATGCGAGGGCGCCATGGTGGACATCGTGGGCGCGCCCAGCGAGGTGACGACGCCCGTCAGCGAATTGGCGATTGATATTTGTGCGTGCGGTCCACCCGGTCCCGGTGGCAGACCGTGCTGCAGCCCGGGCGGACCCTGACCAGCCATCGAGCTGATGGGCTGATGCAAGGACGTCGGCGGCTGCGGACCCGGGCCGGAGCCAGAATTCGGCGGTGGTCCATGGCTGTGCGGGGAGATGAGATTTTGTGGATGCATGCCGGGCGGCAGGCCACCGCCAGCTGGCGAAGGCATGTGCGGCGAGGGATGTGGCGACTGGAACTGCTGCGGTTGCGAGGATGGCGGCTGCGAATTGCTATTGCTATTGCTGCCCTGGCTATCCTGGCCGGGCGTCGAGCGTGCCGAGGCATCGATGGGGCTCTCCGGCGGCGGGCCATATGGCGAAGCCTTGATCAGATTCTCCCCGCCGGCTGACGATACAGGCGGCATCGGGTACTTGAGATCCTGCGGCTGTGGCGGCCCGTACTTCGCAGCCAGCGGATCACCGTACTTGAGCATAAGACCTGTCGGCTCGAACGGTCGTCCCAGCGGCGGCGTCTGGACATCGTGCTGATAGTGCGGCTTGGGCATGGCAATGCCGGGCGGAGGCGTGGCACCCGGCGGCTGCTGATCCAGCGGCGGACCACTCTGACCCGCCGGCGCGTACTTATGCGGCGGACCGGGTCCATCTAAGCTCGAACCAATGCTGTGCGGCAGATGGGCAAAGCCTGGCTTCACATCGGGTATCTTTAGTGCCTCCTGGTAGCCGGGCTTGGGCGGCGCTAGCTCCACTGGGTACTTGCCCTGCTGTTCGATCATGTACTTCATGTCGTACTTGCCCACGGCCGCCGCTGCAGCGGCAGCTGCCTGCATTTCCTGGCTGTACTTGAGCGCATCCAGCGGTGCGGGCACCGGATACTTCAGCTCCTGTGGCGCAAATTTGCCAGCACTTGGCTCGAATTTGACGGCTGCCTCGTTGTACTTCATTTCCATATCGCCAGGATATTTCTGAGGCGCTGGTGCCGACACGACCCCACTGCCGGGATCGCTGTGCAGCTGCGGCGGTGGCTGCGGAGGCGGCTGACCGGGCGGCCCATACTTGAGCTGCCCGTCTATGATGTAGCCGGCAGGCGCCTGCGGCGTTGGTCCATGTGGCATATGCTGCAGATGCAGTGGTTCCGGATTGCCGCCCTCGCTGGCACTGTGATGCAGTCCACCCAGTTGGGCATTGGGCGGCGGCCCCGCCGAGCTGACAGGCGGCAGTCCGCTGGCATTGATCTTCAGATCCTCGTTTTTGATTTCGATTTTGACCTTGAGATCTTGTGGCTCGTTGCTGTTTTGATTGCATGTGGCGTCCATGGAGTCCTCCATGGGCTCCTTCTTAATGTAAACGGTTTCCTGCATTGGCCCAGATGCAGCTGACACGGGCGGCACGCCCACCATCTGTTGCTGCTGCTGCTGTTGTTGTTGCTGCTGTTGTTGTTGTTGCTGCTGCTGTTGTTGTTGTTGTTGCTGCTGTTGCTGCTGCTGCTGTTGGGGCAACGTCTCCTGCTTGATGGTGGCCAGCTTCTTGAGCAGCTCGGGATCGCGTGCAGCCGCCTCGTTCTCACAAATCTCCATCTTCTCGATGGCCTCCTTGCGATCGCGATCGACTGACGCATTGAGCGCCTCCACCGTCGCAATTGTGGGCACCTTCATTGCGATCGGTGCTACCGGCACAACAGCTGGTGGCGCTTCCAAGGAGCTGGACTCTTTGAGCAGACCATCCACGTGGGTAGGCTTGATACTGAGCGGCTGTATACTGCTGGGTGCCTGGATGTTGGTCTCCTCATCCATGTTCTTGATGGTATCCTTGCTGTCTTCCGCGCAGGCAGTTTCCGCTTTGATCGATTTCTCGTTGACTACATCCGACTTGGAGTCCACATCACCGGACAACGTGACGGCGTTCTCCTCCTTGCAGTTGATCTCCTTGCTATCCTTGCTGGACTGCTGCTCGATGGTGCGTCCATCCGTGTCGGTTGTATTCGACTCGCCATCGTCGAGAACAGAATCGGGTCGACTATCCGAGTTCATGCTCTCAACTGGACTGTCGGGCCGCTTGCGCGGCTTCTCCTTGACGTTGTCCTCGCTGTTGTTGATCGCCTGCTCGCTGCTGTTGCTGTTGGTCTCCGCTTCGGTGCGCTTCTTCTTGTTGGGCGTATCCTGTTTGCCGCCCTTGCGCTTAGTGCCCGATCCCTCCGCCACGGTCTTGGTGGGCGTCTTCGGGCTATCGCAAGCAGCGGCGGCGGCTGCTGCTGCGGCTGCTGCTGCGGCGTCCGGTGTTTCGGAGCCGCGCTTGGGCCGCTTGCCGTTCGCCACGGCGTTGCTGTTGTTGTTCGCCGAGCCAGAGGACTGATCCTTGCCGGAGCTGTTGCCGGATGCGTTGACGGAGGCAGCACCAGCCGCGGCGGAGTTACCACCGCCACCAGCTGCAGCGGCGCTACTGCTATTGTTGTTGTTGTTGTTCTGTTGTTTGTTTCTAGTCCTCATCCTAGATGGTGATTCATCCCTTTTGTTGGTCAGACTCGAATCACTGTCACACTCGCTGACGTCGTCCTCGGTTAGAGAACTGTTCTCCTCCTTGGAGACAGCGGGCGATGAGCGATTCGCCGTCTCTGCAGCCGACGCCGCCGCCGTCGCCGTCGTCGCAGCTTGTGGTTCCGGGGTGTCCTCCTTTTTGGGAGGTGTATTGTTGGCGCGCGTAACACGATTGCGACGCAAGGCGCTCTGTCTGCGTCGCCGATGCGGTCGATTATTGTTGGCGCCGGGCGTCTTCTTCCACAAATAGTAGAACTCGACCAGCTCTGGTGTATCCTTGTGTGGCAGCAGATCCTTGTGGATCCTAAAGAAATTCTTGCCAAATTGTCGCAGACCCTTGATGAACTTTTTCGTTTCGTCCTCGGTCCACTTCTTGTCAATGCCCTTCGAAACGGGACACTTTACGAGTGCTTGTAGAGCTTTGCCTGGATCGTAGCCAGAATCGTGCAGCTATTCGAAATGGAAATGGAAATTCAATTAGTTACCAGCACTGTGGGTTACCCCAGAAGGGTTAGGTCATCATCACTCACCACGTCGAGTGCGTTAATTGTTGTGTCGTCGCGACTGGCAGCCAAACAACCGTCTTCTAAACCGCCATCACACATTCCTTGAAATGCAGCCATGGAGCGTGCCGCACGCAGAAACATTAACAAGTCGCCATCGGCCACAACGCCAGGACTCCATCTTGTTTCCTCTAATTCACGTTCATCGGTTTCCTTGTCAACGGGGAAGCTTGAGATTGGATTATAATCGGGCAGTTTTGCCTTCAGTCACAAGACAAGACAAGACAGAAGAAGTTGCCGGTATTAGTTAATTAAAAAATAACGGAACGGAACTCCAAAAAAAACATCACATCAAGCCTAGTTTTCTCTTATCATCTTTTCTCAGTTAGTTACGTCACATACACCACAGACTCAAGACAAAGTCTACAAGAAACACAATAAGCCAAAGAACGTGGCGTGGCCCAGTGGCGGAAATACTTTAGCTAAACATTATCCATGCAGGACACGAAGCTCTCGATAAGCTTCCACTCTTTCTATGATAAATTGGCCGAGTATTTCCAACTGAGCTGGTTTACATACTTTCGAAATATATACAAGTCTGTAATTTGTCTGGTGTCATACGATACGACAATATACAACTTAAGACTAATGCATGAAATGTATGAACAATGCCTTGATGTGAGGTGTATGTGTGTCTATTGGGTATTTCTCGGGATAGGAGAGTTGGTATGGGAAGAGTATCAGCGCCAGGACTTGAGGAGGTACTCTATGTGGTTAGTTCTAATATATATTTATATGACCAATTGGGTAAACGATTTATTTACAGCTGTTATTTATTGTTTATAAATAATAAATTTTTAGATAATTATCAAGCTACAAATCAAAGCAGACTAACAAGTTGCCCACAACGAAGAGTCGAGGCATGCGATTAGATAGAACTGTTGAAAACTTTTTTATTACTCTGTCTTTTCATGTATAATTTATAGGCATAATAAACCATATTTTATATAACTATCTCTGTGCATTCAAATTCTTTTCAAGCTCCTTAAAATTTCCATGGTTTGTTTGACTTTGATTCACTTTTTACAAAGAAGTGGAGAGATTTGGTTATCTTTAGAGACTCGTAAAGTTAACCTTTTGAGCTCAAGCTCCAAAAATATTTAAGTGAATCAGTCTTTTATAATAGACAGGAAAACTACAAGCATATGATAAAATTATATTATTTAACTATACAAATATAATTTGAATTATGCCAAGACTCATAGCGTGAGCAACTTTAAATTTAAAATTTCGATTAGATTTTGAAAAAGAGGGAAGAGTATAACATTCGGTTGGATTGGACTGGGTTGGGTTGGTGTTAGTTGGGATTACAATTAGAACTTGCAACACTACGATTACAATACAAAAAGGAAAAAAGTATATATTTTTTCTTTGTATTTTTAATTTTCATTTTGTTACCGTGAGCTGAATTTCTGAATTGTGAGAGTTATGTACGTACATAGACATCGTTTACCTGGTGGCCGGGACCCACTCGTATTTCTCCTTGAGTGGAGGCCGCCATCACCCTTTAAAAACACGCTTCCGGTCCAGTGTTAAGCCTTTTTATGCCCGCTATGATATGAAAATTCAACTGAAAGAAACACAAATAAAATGAAATAAATAAATAAATTTTGAATGAAAATGCATCATATGGTTAAAATGATTAACATTCTTCAATATAAATCATGCACATCGTAACTGACGACTAACAGATGCCCTGTATTTACTGTAGTTTTTAATTTTCACAGATAATGTTAGAGATAAAAAAATTATGTATTTCAATGATAATAATGTTTGGTATTTGACATAGATAACTCGTATAATTCTCGAAATATTAATAAAAAACGGTTCATCAATAAAAAATGTCATCCATTTGAACATTTTAATTTATGAACATATTTTTGTATATATACATTTCCCTCTGCCCGCTCCAATCAGTCATTATACCCCACTTAAAGCATTTGGCATGGTTTCAAAGGTTTTAGAAATGCTGATATGAGCATTGCATAAATAAATAGGCCATAAAAAATAATGCCATGTAATGTGTGTGCCCGTAGAATAGGCGAGGCTAAGCGTAGCGAATCTGGAGGCCAGACAAGTTTAGGGAGTTTTATGCGACCCGAGCACTTAATCGTTTGCATATGGTAAATGCGCCTGCTGCCAGCCAGTACAGCCAGCTGCACGGACAAGAGAGCTGAGCTGAGCTGAGCTGACGGAACAGGTACACCATCTATATATTCATATCGTGTGTATCCCTCTCTCTCTTTCCCTCTTTCTTTCTCTCTGTGTGTGTCTGTCTGTCTGTGCCTGGTTATTTTTTCTTTTGGCCGCCTCTCAAGTGTGCGTGCAGCTGTAAACAGATTTTCCGCTCAAGTAACTTGGCGAATAACTGTAACGAGGCTGGCCTCCGGGCCGGGCGATCTGTCAGGGGAATTATCATTAAATTTGCTTACGAATCAATATCAGAGCCAATGCACAGGCACACACACACACACACCCATACGCATGCCAGCGGTTGCGGTTGTGTGGCAACGGCACACAAATTATGGCAATTAAAATCAATTAATTAAATGCAGCAGCAGGCAAATAAAAAGAGCATTGCGCCTCGCCTCGGCTCGGCGCGGCTCGCCCCGACGCAACGCAAAGTATATATAAAAAGGAAAAAAATTAAATAAAACAGAAAATATTGTCGACAGATTTACACTCAATAAGCCACGACACGCCGCCTAAATGACTGACGACGCGGCAGCGTAGGGTGCCATGGCGGACAGCCGAAACGGACAAGCTGCTGGGCCTGCACAGTGGGGCAAAACATAATACAAATTAAAGGGGAGATATGAAATACAAAGGAGAAATTGGAGCCAACGAAAAAGGGAGGGAGAGAGAGACAGAGGTACGGAAAGTGAGCTCATTAAGACTTATCGATTATAATTCTTGTCGATTACTTATTCAATCATCTTGACTTGTAAGCGATAACTTATCGAAATGCATTAATTCAATAAGCTACGCATTGAGGTGCTTTTTGCAGATATGAATTATAAAGAGAGTGAGAGCGAGATGGAGAGGGAGCGAAATTCAGTTTTACAGTAAATAACAAATGTCTATCGATAACGATAAGCTATCGATGGCTTCTTTACATCTTAACTTGTGAGCCATAAATTATCAAAATGCATTCAATGAGCCGCATTACGCTGCTTAATCTGAGCACATTTATATTAATATGAAACCCCGTAAACTTTTCAGCTACTTTATGCCACTGTGCAGCGCTCCACTGCGTTTGGGGCCAACACTTATCAGCGACATCAGCAGCAACGGCAACGGCAACGGCAGCAGCAGCAGCCAGGTTAGCTGGCCTGGTTGGCTAACTGGCTGGCTGGCTGGCTGCTTGGTTAGCAACTTTTTTTTATGGCAGGAAAGTCGTGAGTGGAAAAATTTCACATAAAAAAAGTAGAAGGTGAGTAGCTCCTGGCCTCGTCTACGTGGTCTCGCTCTTCCTCTATCTCTCTCTCTCTCTCTCTCTCGCCTGCTCTGTTCTCTGCTTCACTCTGGCGTTCTGGGCACGCGAATAGCCCAAGTGGCTGCTCTGGCGCTTTGGGCAAAATTGTGTAATAACTGCGAGCAATGTGCTAAGCTGTGTGTACTCAAAGCCTCCCCCTTTGCCCTCTATCTCCCTTTCTTCATCACGCTCTTCCTGCCTGCTGCTGCCGCTGCTGCTATTTCTGCGGTGGCTGTTATAAAACAAATGTACTACAAAAAGCGCCGTTGTAACGCACAAAAGCCATAAAATCTAAAAAGGCAAAATGAAAGGCTCGAACATTTTTGCCACCACCGAAAAATGTGCTGCATAGAGAGAGCAAGACAGAGAGAGAGAGAGAAAGAGTGTGTGTGAGTGAGTCCTCCCCTGGCCCAGCATAGAGTGTGTGTGTGTATGTATGTATGTATTAATAGCCGTATCATAATGCCCAGCGCTGAGGTTGCGGCACACAGGCAACAACAACAACAATAACAGTTCACAGTAAAAGACCACAAATTATGGCAGCAGCAACCGTTGATGGGGCGTTGCTTGTTGTTGCAGCAGTTGCTGTTGCAGCAGTTCTTGTTGCTGTTGCTATTGTTGTTGTTGTTGTTGTTGCTCTGTACATCGTCGTGGATACGTGACTGACTGTTGGCCAGCTTTGCGAGTGCTTTTGCCGTATTGTGAGTCAGCAGCAGCCCCAAATGCGGTTGGCTGGAGTCGTCTATGGTCAGCCAGTTGGTCGGTCGGTCGGTTGGTCGGTCGGTTGGCTGTTTGGTTGGGTCGCAGCTGAACGAACAGGCCACGAAAATTTAAGGTCAATAACGCTGTCAATTTCAAACGGCGCGTTGCCTCCATTAATGTCAACACGCGCTTTATCAACTTACAAAATATAGCCACACACACACACACACACTTAGTGAGTGTTAGAGAGAATGAGAGGGGGCGGCTGTAAGGGGGTGCCGCAAATTGTTTTCTAAACAGCCCATAAACATAAAACGAAACAAAACGAGAAATGTAAATGAAAAATAAAACTTAGCAAGCAGAGCGCACAGAGAGGCGCACAACAGCCAAGAGGAAATCCAATAAACAATTTGTATCATGAGTAGCGGAAAATTGTGTGTACGCACGCAGCTAAACGACGTCGCTGAGTATGTGTGTGTGCGTGTGTGTGTGTGTTTCTGTGTGAGTGTGCGTAATTTTGAAATGGAAAAGCTGTCGGCTGTCGACGTTCGACTGGCCCGACGGTCGGCCTCTGTGTGGTTGGTCTGTCTGTCTGTCTGCCTGCTCGTCTCTCTGTATGTTTGCGCTTGTATTTAGCTTGTTTTTCTCTCTGCAATCATCGCTTGCCAATAAGCTGACTAATTGACTGACAAATAGGCTACAACAACAACAACAACAGCTACACCAATAACAACGAACGTCAGCAGCAGCTACGGGCCGACAACTTAAAATGCCTTCGCTGCTGCTGCTGCATGCGCCGCACAACTGTACATTAGGGTGGTTATTAACTTGATGTTAATAATCTGCCGGCCTGTAGTCGAGCCGCAGACATCGTTAGGGCCGTGCAGGTAATATTGGACTAAAACGACTATTGAATACGCTACCTGAGCATGGAACACTCAAAGATTACTAAGAGCAACAGGAATTATATTCCAAATTTTTATAAACAAAAAAAAGTTCTACTAGTACTAAAGAATAATATTCATTTATAATTCGTATATAAACAAATTACTTTAAAAATGTGCTTAAAAATCAAAAATTTACTTTTAAATTTAAATTTTACTCCCAGTAAATGATATTCTAAATACATTTCCTTTATAATTTCTGTAAAATACTATAAATATTTAATAGTAATTTAAACATCTTCATTTAGTTAAAGGGCCTTCAGATAGACTAATGTGTAACTATCATAAATTACCAAAAACTATGCACAGATATTTTGGTTTTTGGGTATGCGCCCCAGCAAATTAGCTTCGTCATGAACTCGACTAAATTCTCAAGAGTTTGTGGATGAGTGTGGCTCAATAGCTTGGAATGCCTGAAATCTGTTCAGTTGAGTTGAGTTGAGTGCCATGTGTCAAGTGCGGAAACCCCATTAAATGTGCTTGTAGGCAACAAGAGAAGGTGCCACACAGACACACACACACACACACACATACTATAGAAATACCTATGCTTGCGCGTATGTCTACATTGGTTTGTTGTGAAAGCCAAATTTTCACAACAAATCAAAACAGACGCCCGAGAAGTCACAAAAAAACCTCTAAAACTAGAAACAAGAAGCCAAACGGAGGTAGTCGAACAGCGTTCAAAGCACTCAACTCGTTGCCCAGAGAGAAGAAATAAAAAACAAAGTAAATAAATAACCAACAAATTTCTCTTCTTTTCTTTTGGTTTTTGTTTTTGGGGCCCACATGGAAATAGTCTGGCGTGTGTATGTAGATGATGTTCGAATGCAGGCAGCTTACAGTTGTTATACCCATTACTCAACATCAACAAGAACATTATGCCACATTCTCTTCATTCATGGTCGCAGCCCCTCTCCCTGTCGAGCTCCTTCTCTACTCTTCCACCCAGCATAGCTCCGTAAGAACTCCCATACGTTGCTCCACTTCATTCAACCGAACGATTGAGCATCTATTCAGGCACTGATGCGGCGCTCAAAAAAGCCAAACCGAAACCAAATAAACGACCCGCAACGACTGCGACGAGTTCACATCTCACTCTCCCGCCCGACTCTCTCCGCACCCACACTCACTCACTCGCTCACTCTAACCTGTGCATCATTTGGGACCGTTCGTGTGCAGCCGAACTTCACTTCGTTGTCGTCAGCGTCATCGTCATCGTCATAGTCGTCGTCGTCGTCGTCATTGTTGTTGTTTTTGTTGTTGTCGTTTATACGATTTGTTGGATTTGCTGCTCATGAAGTTGTTAAACAGATTGTCGGTGTAGATACCTTCATCATTCTCTTCATGTCTGACGACCCGCGTCTGCCTCTCTTCCTCTCCCGCTCTATATTTCTCTCACAGCTGCCCATCCATCGCAGTCGGGCAAGTCATACAGCCAATTCACTGCTGTCTCACTCGCTCCCCTTCAAACTCTGTCTGCATGTGTGTGCCTGTGTGTGTGTATGTGATGGTCTGTGCCGGTGTGCGTGTGCTTGTGCGATTAGTTTTATGTAATTTTATCGAGTATTTTAAGGATTTTGCGGCTTATCCGCGCTTCATTTGGAAATTGTTTCGTGTTACTTATGTCGCCCCGTTTTGCTTTAAACGGAAGGGCACATGCACAAAAGAAGAAGGGTAAGACATACATAAATAAGAATAAGGGCATGTAAAAGGAGACCGCTTGCCCTTTCATAGCTCTGGGCTCTGCTCGTTGTTGTTGTTACTGTTAGGCCCGTTTCAAGTGTTTATGGCGCTGTCGTCATTGTTTGTTGTTCTTGTTGTTGTTGTAGAGCAACGAGTGTCAGAGAATGTGTGCCTGGCATAATGTAAATGAACGTTTTGCATGTGAAGTTAACACTCTCGCTCTCGCTCTGCCCCTCTCTCTCCATCACTCTCTCTCTCTCTCTCTCTCACTCTTTCTCTACATATCTAACGCTCTCGCGTCACTCTAGCTGCCTTTTGTGTATAATCGAATTACAGACAATGAGAAAGATTTATGGGAATTCATTGTTGATATTGTTAATTTTTTTTGAAACACGTTTATGCATTATATTCCCATTGGTTCATTGATTTTACACCGATTAACCTGCGCTTAATTATTTGACTTTATATTGTATATGCTTATGCATATATTTATATATAGATTTAATAGGTGCTTTGTGTGTTAATTATCTTATCGCTAATGGAGTAGAACGCAGTTGGAATGTTGTTCTCACACACAAGAGACAAATTGGTGGGATATAGAGACGTAGAGACAATGAGAGGGAGAGAGAAGGGGGAATATATCATATATTTTCAATAAGCTTTTTAAGCTATAAATGAACAAGGGATTTGTGAATTATTATTAATGTGTTTTTTGTTTCTGATTTAACATTTTAAATGTGTCTGATAAAACATTGTGTATATTATTATATGTATGCACATATATATTTATTTACGTCATAAAGCAGTCACATTTATCTACATAGTAAATTTATTTAATGAGCATTTTGTGCTGCCTTTGTATATTATGAGTTTTTATTATAGAATTTTAAAATTATTTTTAAAAGTCATTAAATACGAACTACGAGTAATTATCGTACCCATACTATAATATAATTATTGTACTTCTTTTATATGTATATGTTTAGTTATATATATTATAATATTCCTTTAAACTGCTTAGCAGCTATATTTAAGATATCTATATATTATATATCTTAGATATTATATAATATTATATTATATATATAATATATTTAACATCCATTTATTGCTTTTCATTTATATCCATTATGATATTCCTTTCAACTATTTCATTTGTTGCTTCGGAATTTGTTAAACATTTCTAAAATGATCTAATTTGTCATGGCTCTATATATATTTTTTATACACATGCACACATATGTACGTATTCGTACATTGCGATACATCTGTGTGGGTGTTTCGACGGCACATTTTATAATCAGTGGCAATAAATCGACACTCGAGTCCAAGTGTCTTGCTTTTTCAATCAGATAAGCGGTAATTATAAATTAAAAGCACCAGCAAACAGATTAATAAAACGTAAACTTTAACAACGCATTATAAATAAGTCAAAAAGACTAATAATAAAATATGAAATGAAATCGACATCAAAGGCCGCCTACAACCCTTTCCCCACCAACAGCTTGATTATCATCCATCTAGCAAAAAAAAAAAAAAAACACCGAGAGCGACATCAGTGGGCGTGGGCGTGGGCACTTTCATTTTGTTGCCTTTCTCGCGGTTGTTGTTGTTGTTGGGTCATGAGTTTCCGCCCGTGGCATTAGCGCGTTTTGAGTTCGCTTTTGTTTTTATTAAATGCATTATTAGCACGTTATTTATTAATTAAACACTTCACGTTTTTATTCCCTCCTAATCGGGCTGCCTACTCCCGACACCCCTCCACCTCCCTACCACCCACCTCTACCCAGCCACCCAACGAAGAGCTGCCCACTCGCTCGTTAGCTAAAAGAGATAAGCTCAAGCATTGGCGTTCATGGAAATTAGCCAATGAACAGAGTTGCTCGATAAGCAAGAAGAGAAATTTCATTGGAATTTTAATCAAAGAACTTGGATATGTTTCCCACGAATTCAAAATTATAATTATTCCTATATATGAAAAAGGCCTACGGTCTATACTTTTGATATTGATAGACTGGTAACATATCTGAAATGATGATGATGAATCCCTTTTATTGGTCCGCTCTCCCAACTGTAGTTGAGTGTGTTATTGAATGCTCGTTAAATAAATAGATTTGTTTGCATTTTAATTATGGTTAACACCAAGTTATCGACCACTCGGCAATTAATCAGCGAACGGCGCGCAAAACTAATTGACAGCTTGTAGATGTTACGCTCTGACAGCTCGACGACGACGACGACGACGTCGACAACGATTCAAGCAACGGAACATGCAGCAACAACAAGAGCAACAAGCTCTCTAGCTGAAATCACAGTTGCGTGAACTTGAACTACTGACTCAGTGAACAGCTTTGCGTTGTGCTGGCAATTATAATTAACTATAAGTTCAAATGAACTAAATGCGAATATGATTAAGATATCAAAGTAGAATACAGTGTAAGCTGCTCATAACTGACAGAGAATATTATATAACATTCAAAATAACTAAATACGAATATGTTTATAGAAAATAAATATATAAGCTATAGCAGACAAGCATATTTCAGTTTTCGGGATATTAAAACATGAGCGCTCAAACTTACAGAGAAGAAATATTTAATATTATGTTTCCACTTAACTTTACATTTTATCCAAAATTATTTAAAAATATTATCTTTCACAGACCTCAACTCATGTTGATACCCTAATAGTGCATCTAATGAAAGCAACAATACGAGGTATCACTTTACAAATACCATTTTCTAGTTTATAATACACTTCTATTCAATATGAACGCCTTTCTGTATCTGTGTGCGTGTGTGTATTTTCGTGTGTGTGTTTCTGTGTGTGCTGGGGCACTTGAAGCACTTTGCCTAATTAGTTTATGATGCATTGAGTGAGCCTGGCAATTTGCTTGTCTATCACAGCAGGCCATAGCGCCTCCCCTAATACCCTACACACATACACACATGCACACACACACACACACACTTATACACTCTCGTACGTAGTTCAATAGTTTTAGCCATGAAGCGAAAAAGAGAGTTGGGATTTAGCGAGACCCCCGAGGGGCAGTAATAGAGGAAGATGACACATGAGCCGGCGGCAAATTCGATATTATTATGCGTGTGTATGTGAGTGTGTGTTAAGCAAACAAATAATAATAATTAAATATATGCCTAGTTCAACAGCTGTTCTCACCATGAATCCAGTATAGATGTGTGTGTGCGTGTGTTCCAGCAAGCAGCTCGAACTCGAATTCGAAACCGGGTGGCTGCGGCTCCCACTTGGCCCGCTAACAATAACGTTGACGTGCGTGCGAGCGAGTGAGATAGAAGTAGGCAGAGATATCTAGTGATGATGATGCTGTTGCTCCTCCTGTTGTACCGTTACTTTGGCAGGGCGCACAGGCAGCCGGAAATGTAGATTTTGGTTAATTTGCACTTGGCACAGCTGGAAACGAAGAAATGACGTAGGTGAGAGACGAGCTGATGATTATGATTAAGCAGATGAAGAAGAAGAAACTGGACTAAAGTTGCACAGTGCAGAGAGAAGAAAAAGAGCAGAGAATGCAAAATTTATAAAACAAGAAAATTGCAGTTGAGTTTAACCAACTGCGTAATGCCCTGTCAAAATCTGTGACCAACTGATATTGGAATTTATATTTATTTGGTTTTATGTTTATAGTCTAGTTATCAGATTGAAATTCTGTTTTGGCATATATAGCACAACACTAATATGCCCATTTAACACTTTTTGTAGTGTATTATAAAAAGGCGCGAGTCACACAACAACAACATCGACGGCAACAATATATTTTTTAGCCAACGTCAGCGAAAAAGCAACAAAGCAACGCTTAAGCAGCAGCGAGCGGGCAGCGGGTGGGCGTGCAGCTTGTCATATGAAGGGTGGTCACAGCAGAGGCAGCAGCAGCAACAGCAGCTGCGTCGGTGGTGGGTGACGCCGCCGTCACCGTTGCCGTTGCTGCTGCTGCGCTTTGTGATTCCTTTTCAGCACAAAATTTGTTGAGCCTTTGAGTCGTCGTCGTCGTCTTCTGCTTCTTTGTATTGTTCTACCCCAAAAAAGTCCATAATAGAAACGTCCCCTGCTCCACAAACCAAAGTCGTAGTCGTCGTCGTCACCGTCGTCATCATCATCATCGTCGTCTGCCTCTGCCCGCTTTGGCTTTTTCACTTTACTTTGTGTGCAAACACAGTTGCAGCGCCGACGCCAACTAAAAAGACGTCGACTGCGACAGCGACGCGTTTCATACGTTTTTCACTAATAAATTTTAATGATTTCTACGCTGCGCATTACGACGACGACTAAGACGTCGACGTCGACGGCGGCTGTGACTGCGATTCGGGCGACGCTTCAAATGAAATTAGTGACACACTTAAATAATAATTAATTTTTGCACACTTGTTGTAGTTGTTGCTAACATTTAGAGACTCGAAAAGTTTCTGTTTCTGTCTTAGCTGTTGTTGTTGTTGTATGTGCGCGTTTCAACTTGTTAGTGGGGCCTAACAATACGTTTTTTAATGCTCTTCTGTTTTGTCTTCTTCTTTTTTGCATACACTTTGCGCACACACACACACGCAAACGCTCGCCATACACATGCAGAAGCAGTTACACGCGCATACAAACACACACACACACACACTGACTAACACACACACACTCACGCACTTCGCTTGCTTTGCGTTTTTTTTTTTATTGCTGCGGAGATTTTTGGGCACAATTTTCGCTGACTTTGAAACGCAATTTGTGTATACTTTCACACGCGTATTGCAGCGACAGTGGCACGTGAAAGTTTTGCACTATAATTTGACTAAATAATATTAGCACAAATGCGTGTTTTTTTTAGTTCTTAATGGTACAACAAAATTTCTCCGCGTATAGCAGAAGCCACCATTTTGCGACTCTCGATGAACAACAAGCAATGCAACACTGTACAGGGTTGCAAGTCTGGCAGCACTGTCCATTCGATAACCAGTCAAAAAATACCAACGAACGAGGTACACATTATATCGATATATTTGATATTGAGGACCATTTTTGTGCACTCGCCAGCTGGTCACACTTGCTTCAGTCAGTTCTATTGTTTAGCGTCGTCCGCGTCTCTCTGTGGCACGCAAATTAAATAACAATTGCAGAGCAAATTAAAAAATACAAAGACGTAAATTCAACTTTTGTGTGTGAAACTACACTTTATTTTTTATTTAATAATCAACAACCAGCATTTAAGCACTATAAACAGCTACGATGTCCGAGTGCGCCAGCGAAGTAGCCGAACCGCAGACAGGTAAGGGCAAAAAAATGTTTTCGTTTACCTTCGCTTGGCCGTTGCAATTTGCATGCGCAAATTGAGCGGTCAAAGCGGCCGGCAATAATGTAAAATCGTATTCGAATTCAATAATAGCAACAGCTACTTATGTGTGTGCGTGTGCTTGAGTGGTAATTTCCGAGTGTGTGCATGTGTGTTATGTGGGTGTGTGTGCCAATGCGTCTTGCTTGTTATGTATGGGACGCCAGCCCCCTCGATGCCCCCTTTTGCGGTTGCCTTGACAGTTTAGCTATTGTTGTTGTTGTTATGTATTGAGATTTGTGCAAATAGTAAATCAAAATATCGACAGTTTATACACCTTCAACATTTGCTTTTGTTGTATTTCTTCCGTTTGGCCTTGTGTTGTCTCGGCTTGTTTCGCTTTTGCCGCCATATTAAATATAATATTTGTATAATACTTATTCACGGTCACCCGTAAGCCAATTTTCAATGCGAGCTGCACTTAGTTCCTGATTTTGAAACGAGTACGTGTAAGTCTCTGCCTGTGTGTGTGTGCGTGTGCGTGTATGTATGTTGGTTTTCTAATTCATTTACACAACTTTGGCCACATTTTTCTTTTCCTTATCAGAACTGTCTTCTTATCAATTTTTTGGAAGCTAAAAAGCGCTTGACAAACACTTAATCATAAAATTAATGAACTGATAGACAAAATGTTGTTAACAAATGCTTAACAACGTGTAGAGAATTAAATAGAAAATAGGCTTTTGACATGGAGCTATACAAGTTTAATAAAACTTTATTGAAATATAGAAGAGAACGGAGAATTGAAAATTTAATACGTTATTTTTACCATTTCTATAAAATAATAATATTTGCATTTAATTATTTAAACCCATTCAACCGGTTCCCTATAAGGCATATAACTATATTTATTATTGTTAAGAGGTTATTATTTCCGTGAGAAGCTTTACTTGGCTTTAGCTTCTATAAGCTACTAGATTGTTGAGTTGGCATTGTAAATATGCATACAAACTTATGCATATGTAAATATTTATAGTTAAAATGTATTTGTAATTGGCACTTTAGCTTTTACCAAGATTTAGTGCGCTTGACTCATTAAAGATTCAGAAAGGTAACCAGATTTATTGATATATAAAACATATAATAGTAAGCGGTTGACCAGTGTAGTGTATACAGTAGAGACTTCCTAATATAGACACTTGTTAGATCAGAGATTTGCTAAACTTAATAACTGCACAAAAAAAAAAAAAAAAAAAAAACTCTTATGCACTCACAATTTCTATTACAGAGCATCTGCTAGTCGTGCATGCTTGCCCACACAGCACTCTTTTCGCTTGATTTAAGCAGTTTTATGTGCTTGGGAATGTCGCCACAGATTAGTTGATTTCGATTTCAATTTCTACTTCTATTTCTATTTCTATTTCTATTTCTGTTTGCAATTCGCTTATTTATGGCAGTAATGAATCGCGGCCCATAAAGCACAGCTGCAATTGTATACAAAGGTACACATACTCAATCATCTCACACACACACACACAGACACACATACATACATAGATGCCTAGTTGGAAACATGATCCAAGTCAATTATCGCCTCGATTTACCACCTCGCCACCCCAACGAGGCGCCTTTCGAGTTGTCTTTTTAATTAAATTGCACAAAGCGCGGTCTGTCAACAAATGTTTTATTGTTTCGCATACGCGCACTCATGCATGCAAGCACATGCACACATGCACACACGCAGGCAGGCAGGCATGCATGCATGTGCCATGTGCCACTCGCATACATATTTGCATGCAACTGCAATAGTTTGCTGACTATTAATAGGTGTTATTGTTATTGTAATTTTTGTTGCTTTTGCAAATGCCATTCGAGAGCTTCCCTCTGCTTAAACATTCGCATACACTTGGCGAAAAAATGGTGATGAATGGTAAACAATAGAAAAAAACATATAGAATTAAAAAAATTAAAAAATTAAATGATATAATAAAAAATTAATTAAAAGAAAAAATACAAAAATACAAAATTAAAAAAACAAAAAAAAAAAATACTTGAGGAAAAATTTATAAAAAAAAAAGAAATTATTCAAAATAAAAAAAAAAAACTAAATTGAAACTAAGAAAAAATAAAAACAAGTAAGAACGTTGCAGTCGGGCGATACCGATTGCAGAAGACTCATTCACAGCCCAAACGCTGTCAACCAGAGTATATAGTGCAATTTTCGAGTCTAGTGCGCAGCAAAAAACACGGCATTTTGCCATTAAAATTGGAAAATCATCGATAGCTATTGCATTCAAATTACATACATATATAATTTATACAATTTTGATTTTTATTATATATGTATTTATATCCATACATTGGATACCGGCTTCAAGCTAACAGCAGATCAGCGCGATTTTCCTATGCTTGTGCACACACTCATCGTCTATTCTATGCGTACAGACAGAAGCGCGCCTTTTCTCACATTCTTAGAATTTCGATTGATTTCTGGACTTTCTAGCCGTTACTGTAGTTTTGTCTGATGACGCTCTCTTATTAAGCTATTCTATTTTAGCAACTGATTCCCCGATCAAAGCAGTGGCGCGGGTGCTAAGGGCGACACAAGTAATGTTAGAGTAGGGGAGGTTCGAACCTCTACTATGTTATTATTATTATTTTTTTTTTTCATACATATTTCGTTTTTGGGAAGGTGCGAGCTTGACTGAATGGCACTTAATACTTTTCATTTTCTTAGTCGAATAATTTTATAAGTTTAAATTTGTTCTTCTTAAATAGCCCTCAAATACATATACGCAAATACATACATATGTATATATAATTATATATGTTTGCCTGCGCGCATAGCATCAAGCATTCCAGCCTTATACACGCGCTCATTTGTATGTGTGTATGTATGTACACATAAATGCGTGCTCTAGCAAATTCTAAGAATCCCGTTGCGATTGATTTGTCTTTGCATTGTTTTTGAATTTCCAGCCGCTACACTGGCTTTTCTTTGCTATGTGGCGTCATAACAATAATGTGATTTCATTTTAACTACTATTGATCGAAACGACGCGGTGGTGCTGTAGGCTGAAGCGCCGGCGATCTTTATTTTAGCTATTTTGACAAACATGCTGTTTGGGTTGGGTGCGAGTTCAAATCCCGCTGAAAACATTTTTTTGTAAATTGCAAATTTTTGTTATTTTAGCTTTTTTATATTTTATTAATTTTATAAAAATGTTTCCTTCCGTGCTATCAATGCCTATAAGCCTACTTATGTGTACATATACATAAATAGATGACTGACGCATATAAATGTCGCAATTCGGGCACTGTAAATACCGATTGCCACGCCCCTAGTGGCCGTAGACTCCTCAATTTTAGCCAGTTCTTAGAACGAGCAAGCGGTTACATAAATGCAAAATTTGAATTCTTACGCTCAAAAAATGTGAAAATTACAGGGTATTTTTCGATATGCCACGCCCCTAAAGAGGCTTAATAATTATTTTTGGGGCATCGATAGAGGAGGCCACCAGTAACTTAACTATCCAACTTTGAAGCTTCTAGCTCTTAAACTGTAGGAGATATAAACTTTTGCGGTTTGCCACGCCCCCTATAGGCGGACATATATCTACCATAGCTCGTTGGACTTGGGTGATCAACCCGCGTATATATACCAAATTTCAGATCTCTAGCATCAATAGTGCCTAAAATATAGCAGAATTCGAAAAATCACTATATCTTCAGGTCCGATTTGCCACGCCCCTAGTGGGCGTAGATATATAATTTTTTCACCCATCTTCATAGAATTAAAACATTAGCCTACGTGCAAAATTTCAGCATTCTAAGTTTATAACTTTAGGAGATACAGTTTTGTCCGATTTGCCACGCCCCTAATGGGCGGAGATATATCCGCCATAGCTTGTGATCTTGGGTGGTCGGCGCGGACCTACATACCAAATTTCAGCTTTCTAGCTCTTCAACAAACATGATTTCGGGTATATCGGAAAATGCATTTTCCGATTTGCCACGCCCCTAGTAGGCGGATCGGGAAAATTTTAACACTTTATAAATCGGAGATATACACGAGTATGTGTTCCAAATTTCAAGTCTCTAGCTTCAATAGCGCCGAAATAGATTGCGTTCATACGGACAGACGGACAGACGGACAGACGGACGGACAGCAAGACGGACATTGCACAAAACCAATATACTCATTTCACTTTCGTGAATGAGTCTAATAAAAACACAAAGACATATGTATATATAAAAAAAAAAAATCCAAAAATTTGATAAACTTGAAGAACTCAACTAAATTTGCATGTAAACTCGCTCAATTTCTCGCAGTGTAAGCATGCAACCAGGGGATGCTGGCATATTCCTGTGCAGCCTTGCTCTTTGATTGACAGGTGTACCGTGGCACCTTGACAATTGTTTTGATTTGGAAAAACGTAAACATAAACACACAAGTTGCATACGTTATGCAGTTTGGAACCCCACTGAGAGGGCAACAGCAGAGAGTGAGCGAGAGAGCTGGAGAGAAGGAGGAGCATTCGTTTCGAAGGGCACATCGTGTTACACACACTCTCACACACACATTCAGAAATATTTGGATGCCTATTTATATGTTGTCGCCGCTGTTGCCCAATTTCTCGATTGCCCATTCCAAATGGCAACAGAAACAGCTCAGAGCAGAGCAGAGCAGAGAAAAGTAGAGCAGCCCAAAGAGACGCACGAGCTGACAAAATGTGTGCCACTCATTGAACAATTTCAATTATTAACTAATATATAAAATACATACATATATAAATTCGAATTGCTCGCTTGAGTACAGTGAAAACTTGTTAAGAAGTCTTGATGAGGGAGAGAGAGAGCGTACTTAAAGCAATTCAAGCTCTTAAGTGGAAGTTTGAGGTTTGAGCACTTGAGGGACACTTGATGAAATTGTTTTGATTATCTGAGGGCTGTTTAGATTATTGTTTGATTGACCTTTTTGTTGATTGAGTCGTTTG